ATACCAAAAAAGCCCTCAGAGACCAACCTACCCTAGCATGCTGAAATCGATTCTCATAAATGGATCTGAAAACAAAATGTGGTCTTAAGCTTCACTTTTCTTCCCTGAAAATATCTTAATGTTTAATAACCCACTGTCTATTTCAAGCAGCCGTTTAGCCCTTTAGCACAGTTACTGAGGTATTGATACTAAGGCCACATCTTTTAATCTTTGTAGTCATGTCCTATTTCCTGTTGTTTAAAGGTGCCAGCTGGGACCATTCGGTTCAGGTGACTTCAACACTGAAGACTGCTATATTTTGAGACTCCGGTCAGTTATTTTGCCACATAATGAGAACTGATGTCTCCTGGAAAAAAAAAAGGTCTCCTGTGGGACCAAATTTAGAACTAAATTACAGGATTTTCTCTCTATTCGCTCATACTTATACTGCTGTAAATCCATTAATTTCGCTGGGGTTGATTCCATTATATGTTTCRGTTTAAGAGTACATTTGGCCATGATGTGAATACAGAATCACACAACTGAAATGACCTTTGGGCTTACTGCTCATTACGTGCGCACTTAGCCATGCTGAGAGTGTTTTCTCACCTGCTTTCCTCTGATTGTCTTTTAGAGGACAAAAAGTACTGAAAATAATTTTTGCTAGATATAAAGCAGAAATAAGATCCAAAATGCTTTTTTCTTTTTTTCTGGACTGAAGAGCTGCTCAACTTTAGCTAATCGTTTACCTCTGAGTTGAGAAGAAGTAGTATCAGTTAGAGTCACAAAAGATCTGAGAGATTTAAACGAATCTTTATGAGTATACCTGACACTCATAAGGGGAAAAGATAAAATTAAAGAAAAAGCAAAATTTTTTTTTGAATTTTATTTTTAAGTACTCAAAAGTACTTAATACACAGCATATATGTTTAAGTATAGGTTAGCAGTTTAAAACATGAATTAAATTTTACATTCATGAGGATAAGTGCAATTTAATGATGTACTAATCATAAGGCAGAAGATGGTTACGACTAAATAGCATGGAGGATTTGAAGGGATGGCAGTAGGAGAAATGTGTAGTAGAAATACAGAGCTTGCTGCCCCAGCAGCAGCAAATCTTCTCCCCGGTCATGTCCCTTGGGTATCAAGAGGGTATTTGATCCCCCCAAACCAGGGCAGCATTGCTCCTGCACTGCGAGTAAAATCCGAGCAGAACTGCCAAGTGAGCAAGTGAAAGCCTGGAATTCTGGCTCTAATTCTGACCTGTCAGTTTGATGCTGGTGAATCTCTGTCGACCGTTCKTTCTGACTGCCCCAGTGCGGGGGCAGGAGAAGCCCTGTCAGGGGAACTCTGGTGGTTGGGCAGCCTCTACGGAACCAAATGGGATGAATGGTCTCTGGTATCATTTGTTTATCCATCCGGAATTATCTTCTTGATTTCCAGCTAAGTGCAAAGATGCATAAATATCCTTTGTGAATAAGCATATTTTTTYCAAAGATATTTTTAGGGACATATTAAAAAAATAATCACTGTTTAAAGAATAATAAAAAAAACCCACCTTTGCATAGTCTGATAGCTGATATAGATAGAATTAGCTTGATTTTTCCAGTAAATAGAGCCTCTTGGAACATTTTAGAGAATGGGATGTCTGATCATTTGATTTTACTTTTATGTAACATTTGACAGAATGCTAGACTGCTTTTCAAGCAATGAGCTTTAGACCTCATGGAGCTACAACTGCATTATTTTCAGATCAGATTGTTATTAATTGAGAGCATAGGGCAAATTTTTKTGTGCTCTTTCCCCCTCTCCCCCCTCCTTTCAGGAAGAATTTGAAAACAAAACAAAAGAAACCTCTTGCACAAATCCTAGTCTATACCAAAGATTTTTCCAGGTGCTTATCAATGGAGTGAGACTTAGAGAAAAGAACTCCGTGAGGTTGTGAACTCCGGCGGAAGTGGTTACAGTGTACAAAGGGCTCCCTTCTCGAATATCCTGTTTCATGTAGTCTTAGGAGAGACTGCTTTGTGTGGTATTTAAAGCAAGAAAAATCACATTCCTCCTGCATTTATTAAAAACAGTCATGTGGAGATTTTTTAATCATCCCTTCATAGCCTGGGTATAGCAACATGGCAGAGCATCTCAAACGTCAGTCTCCAAAATTGTTTGTTAAGGAAATCTTGGAGTGGTTTGGACTTGGATGTACTGACAGCCTGTGTACCCTGTGAGCAGCTGTCTCTGCCAGGGAACGAAAATTGCATTAGAGAGATTCTTTACAATTCAAAATAAAATTTTTTCACCAGCATCAAGAGAGCTCTCTTGCATCCCAATATTTTGTAGTACTGAGGAATGAAGTTTAGAAATGAACCTTTCAAGGACTGAGGAGGAGGAAGGAGGGTGAAAAGGAAAGGATGGTAAATGGAAGATTGGAAACAGCAGAGAAAATTATTTAAGGCACTTAGACATCCATGAAAGATTATAAAGACATCCTGAATGTACAATGGGGGGTATGCAAAAGGTGCTGGAAGGAACTTCCGCCAGACTTTCCTTTAATGCCTGTGCAGAATAACAATGAAGTCATTCTTTAGAGAATGCCTCTTTCCTGAGTTCTTCAGCTGGCTCAGCCAAGGATTTCGGGAACTGATTGGTAAACTGGAAGCTCAGCTTTCAGGAGCAGGCTGGGCAAAAATGCCAAAAATATGTCTGTTTGGAGGTCTTATGTTGATAAGGGACAGAAAGCTTTGGAGTAGTAGCTTGTGCTTATCTGCAACTGTACATGGTGGTCACTGTTTCAATCCATTATTCCCTGTTACCTAGCTAAGAAAGAAATGTGTATCTGTACTGCTTAATTACCCACTGTCACTGTGGGGTGTCTTTCACTCCTAGAATTAGAAAAATTAGAAGTTCATAGAACAAGATCGTTTGAAAATGTGTGTTCTGAACTCCTGCCTAGTAATGCGAGTGATGCAAGTAATGCAGTTTTTATCTGATTTTGCTTGTTCATTGCTGTTAATTTACTTTGCATGACTAGAGTAAGCATCAAGAGTTAGAGTTTAGGCCAGGGAGTTTAGGCCAAGACAAATTCCTTTCTGCAGTATGCCTATCAATTACTTAACTCTTTTTTTTTTTTTTTTTTTTTTTTTGTGGCTCATCTATAAAATACCATAATACCTTACCTAATTTACCGAAATAGTTTAAAAGCATGGTGTCATTTCAAATAATTTGAGTTAATTATCTCCCAATAGATGTGCCCTCCTCATCTTCCATGATACAGATCCTAATTCATTCAGCACTTCCATCTCTTTCAAATGCCTAGAAAGTCGTCAAACATTCGCTCAGTTTCTCTTGGCTCAACTAACACGTCTTAATTGAGTACAGAATAATTTTGTTCAGGAGGATGACTCAAAATGTGCTTTTGAATTCTGCGTAAGCACTGTGAGTTGGACATTATGGACATTCAGTGCGTAATATGCCTCCTCCCCTTAAAATTATTCTGTTATATATATCCATTATATTATTATGGTACTAATGCCACATCTCCTATCCTTGTAGAAAGGAAAACATTAGCAGCTAATGATATTGCGCTCTCTTGCATGCTATTCTGTATCTCTGTTTCTTACTTTGGGACAGATATTCAGCCTACTAAAATAGATGTGGGTCCATTGACTTCAATAAGGCTGGTCCCTTTTACACTGCCTGAAAATCTGCACTTTCCACATTACTGCTCCTTGCGTGTACGTAAATACAAAAGGATGCAGGATCAAACACAAGCTTAAAAAAAAATCCTTAAGAACCTGAGAATTGCAAATTGAATGCTCAAATCCCCTGTGTTTTAAAAGGAGTTTTAATCTAGGACTAAGATAAGGAATCCCCCGTCTTCTGCTGCCCTTAGAGAAGCACAGATGTTCTCTAATAGACTGTCAGTGAGTCCCTTTGGGCATTGTGTGCCTCTGAATTAAAAATCTGTGTAACGTCAAGTGGAACAAGTGTGATGATTTCAGAGCTTGTCGGCATGGTGGCGGCAGCACCAACGTGCCTTGCTGGGCTGCTCGCAAGGGCAGAACTGGAGCTCTGAGCATGGAAATTCAGCTGGTAGTCACTGAGTTCTGTTCACCTTGGTTGCTGTGTTYGCCTCATGAACACAATTTTGCCTTTAAGCCTTAAATAACTTGCTAGGGGAATGGTTATGTTGTCAGTTCAGAAATGCATATACCGTTAAAAAAGAAAATCACGTTTTTGATTGGAATGGTTTGAAAACATCACCGAGTTCATCATGTATGTTAGGAAATTTGTGTTATATGTGTTTTTCCCATAGAGTTCTAGTGCTAAGTGTTTTTCTTAACCATTTCCTGCAAAGTAATTTGTGCCTGTGAACTTATAGCTTATAAGAGCCTGGCTAGTCTGCTCTTTGGGGAGCATGGCTCAAATAATGATGCTGTCCCAATCCAGTACAAGAATCCTTGTACTCTCCTTGCACTTATTCTGCCAAACAGTCTGCTACTTCATTTCTTTTATACATCAAGTTTAAAAATCTCCTTGTATTTATGGTTCTTATTTGTAAGCTTTTTCTTCCAAGCCAGCCTGCTTTTATGAGCCTTGCTATGTCTGCCAGATACTAGGTGGAGATGGCTTGAGTGGGTGTAACCAAAATGAGAAGCTCAGCTAAATTTGGTGTTTCAGGAGAGGGTGAGATAATGTGGCATCTGGCACGATTTTAAACATTTTCTGTTTAGTTTGTCTAACTCTGATCATGCGCTAAGGAGAATGTATTTGTAATTGTGRTCTAGTTCATCTCCTATTTAGTCCAGTTGAAAATCAAACTTGGAAATAAAGAAATAATGGGAAGTTAAAGCCCATTGTCATGTGTTATTTCATAATTTATCTCTTACCTTATATGTAACTGAATGAAGAAAGCACAGCTCTAGTCAGAAGAGACAGAAATTAGTGTATTATTAAATGTGCTATCTTTGACGTATTTATGCTGCCCTTATTATGTACACTTCTGCTTTCTCTACCTCMAGCTTTCTTTGGAAAGTACCTGAATGAATATAATGGTTCCTACGTGCCTCCTGGTTGGAAGGAATGGGTTGGATTGCTTAAAAACTCTCGATTTTATAACTACACACTCTGCAGAAATGGAGTGAAGGAGAAGCATGGATTTGACTATTCCAGGGTAGGTCCTACTGATTTATTTCTAAGCTTTTAACATTTGCATATAGCTGCAAGAAAGCTACAAACATGTTATGGGTTTAGTCTGACAAAAGAATTCTTTTAATTCTTTAAAKCTGCTGCCAGTAACGTCAGCTCCAGCCCAACAGGCATCGTGTTTGGACTTTCTGTTATCTTTCACTGATGAAGAGTCATGTTACTAAAAACATTTTTAGCAGCAGTGGGAATATAAACAAAACATCCTGAGACTGTAAATACATTAAATGAGCAGAAGACATAAAAATGAACTTAAAGTCTCTGTGATTTCTCTGCTTGGTACTTTAATTTTTGTGTGCCAAGTTGGATTGTCATCTATTCCCATAGTACAGAACTGATTTCAGTGGAGTTACACGAGCATAAATGAGATTGGAAACCAGCTCCCTCCAGCTAGGCCCGTCTTTTTGTATTAATCCAAGGAACTTGTTTCACAGCGATAATATGATGGAGAGTTCATAGGATACTGGTATGTTGTATGRTAATTCTGGCTTTACCAACAGAGTGAACGGGCAATTTAACTATTAAATATTTCCACTTTTTGTTACAGACAAATATGCTTCTTTAAATGCTTGCAAGGATGCTCTACTCTAGCCAAACTTATTAAAAATGGTGATACTTCTTATTCTGTGCAGAATTATTCTTTTTCCTCATCTAACCCTCATTACTGCTTAAACAGTGAAATGTTTGTAGTGAGGGGCATGTTTATTTGAACTGAAAATGTAAACATGCTCCAGCAACCAGCTTCTGTGATTTCCTGAAATGGTCTGACTTAACAGAAATTGTTTCCTTTCTGCTTATCATGCACAAATCCTTCCTTCATATTCTTGGTTCATCAGAATGTATTCACAGACACTTTTTTTCTTTATGAGGCTGATGTGTGTGTGATTTTATCCCTTTCCCCTTGATTTGATTTTTTTTTTTTTTTAATTTAATGTGCTTTGTGCTGAAAGATGAAGCTTAACAGGCTTCTAAGGTTTCATTTTCTATTACCAGCTGCGAAGGGGAAGGGGCAACTGATGAGCTGAATTATTTCTCTTTTATTTCCCTTCTGATCTATGAAAAATGAGAGAGCTAATCTTTACAGCCATGCTACCAACCATGTTTTGACAGAAAATAAATTTCAAATGAAACAGGGTCAGGCAAGTGATTTCACAGGGCAGTATTCCCCATTGCAACAAGGGGCCAACTGTGAACTTCAAGTTCAGATGTCCTCAGCTGTGTGTTGTATATGCAACACTTGAAAATGTTTAGATTTTCATTTAGTTCAGTTTTTCTTATTAAATTTGATGTAAAAAATCCCAACTTGATAAAGATATAAACATTTTGATAATCTTCATATTCTTGCATAATATAGTGCTGTTATAATGAGCAGATGATGGTGTGTGGRGCAACAGTACTTCCTGATGCTAATATTGGAGTTCAAATGAACAAACAGAAGCTGAAATATGAGACTGAATGTATTTCCTTCCTTCTGTTTTTGTTTCTTCTCTTTTGGAAACTTCATTTTCCATCAAGGAACAAATGAACCAAGTTTCCTCAGAGATTATTTTTTGACCCTTTCTACTTGACATAATTAATATGTTAATTCATATGCCAGTGGAAAGATAGAAATGGTCCTTCGATTAACCTTGATGGAGTTATGGTTATTTACATCTACTTGCATGACTGAAAATATCATATCAGTAACAGTCATAAATGTAGCAGTGTCATAACAGACAAGCCTCATGTGTAGACCAATATATAAAATTATAAATGGAGCTGGCAGCCTGGCTCTGGGATGCACAGAAAATAATTTAGGGGAAAAAAAGGATAAATACAGTCTGTGAAAAGGGTTTCCTTTGACTAATAACAGTTGACTTCAGGTCAAGGACAATGGCAGTGGTAAAGAGGAGAAAGTGTCTGACCCATGGACAGAAAGCTTGCCTGAGAGAGCTGCCATCCAGTTTGTACCACTCTTTGTGCTTGTTCACTTGGCCAGAGCCAGCTATTATGTCTGGTTTTACATCCAGCTATGACATGACAATTATTTTTGGTTTAAATTAGCAGCTTTGCAATGTTGTGTATTCCATTCAACTCTTGTCCAAGAGTTATTTGATGTGCATAATGTAGCCCAAGAAAAGGAAGACAGTATATCATTAAAATATTCTCTTTAATCTGTCTAGCTCCAGGAGATAKCAGATGTACATGATACTTTTTAGAAATTAGAAAGATGGACAGTCCACATCTTCCAAAGTGAGTTTTCTAAGTTCCCAGTCCTTTACTTTATAGACGTATATCTCTATCAAATTGTCACAGTAGCTGTAAAGTTAATGAAATTTTTGGTCCAGCTAGTCCAGCATTTTTTAGTTTTTGTGTGACTGATTCTTCAGAGGGATGTTAAGAAAAATGAGTACCAATGTATACATATGTCGATTTTTTCAGAGCTTTTGTATAAGATAAGGAGGGGACTACATGTCCTAAAAATTTCATCACCAGAAAGCAGAGAAATAGAGCTTGTAATTTTCAAGTCTTTTTTAATATGTATTTAGTATTGTGATTAATTATGCACTCTGGCAATATGCACTTCTCATTGATCTTTARTGTCCTTTTTTTCTGAGATGAAACTGTTTTTCATATTTTTACTCAGTGAAGAGAGATTGATTTCATTTTAGTTTTTGAAGTTATTAACATCTAAATGTTATTCCCTCCTCCTTTCTTTTTGAGCTAAGTAGCTTCCTTTTTCCAGTTTCTTATGATACTTCAGCCTTCCTACTGCGAACTCCTGCCACAGCTTGCAGTTATTGTTGAAATACCTCATTGAACCTTTCCTTCCACTTCTAGGATTATCTGACTGATCTGATCACCAATGACAGTATTACCTTCTTCAGAATCTCAAAGAAGATGTATCCTCACAGGCCTGTGTTGATGGTTATAAGCCATGCTGCTCCTCATGGTCCTGAAGATTCAGCACCTCAGTATTCGCATCTCTTTCCCAATGCCTCTCAACACATGTAAGGAAAAAGAAAACTCTTGTGTTTCCAGGTTCAGGAAATTAAAAGTGCTGTGTACCTCTAGCTGAAAAAAATATTTACCTTACAATACTCCTGGCGTAAGTTTGTCATATACGCAGAATGTTTGGAGATTTTTATACTAATTCAGAACAGTACACGTATCTTGAGAACAACTACCATGTATAGAACTCAAATTGTAGCTCAAAAATTGAAAGGTTTGTGTTGAATTCATTGGACATTGTGACAAACTATTTGGGCCCTGTATATCACTGTTTGTTTTGAGCAGAGSGATCAAAATCTGGTTCTTGGGTTGTGATATCTTCATGGAAAGAAATTGTATCTTCTTATCTGTATGAAAAAAACATGTTAGTTTATGGGTATTACAAAAATCACATAATGCACAATAGCTATTATTTCTATTTTATATATGGAAAGAGAAGAAATAGAGGCCTGCATCAAATTAGGTAGTTCCAGATGGGCTGGCAGGTCTCTACATGCCACCTGACGCAGTCTTGGAAACAGCTCCGGTGCCCAGAACACCACAGCCTGGTTACCCAGTTAAGGCATCAGCTCCAGCCTTGCTGGCTTGCAGTTGCAGAGCCTGCTTAGAAGGGTAGCTCCATAGGGCTCCACTCCGCAGCTCACACACCTCCTCACAGGCTGCTCGTGTGTATGATATTCTCCCAAATCGTGTTTTAACCAAACTGAAAACATTCCAAGATTTTTCTCCTTACTGGCTTTCTGCCTTCACTGATGTTCAGTGTTTGTAATTTTCTTCCTARATTCATGGATTTTTTTTTCTCCAAGGGGCTTTCCATTTTCCTTTGGATTTGTGAAGGAACTGGGAATTAGTTGAAATAACCAGTTGGTCATTAAGACTCCTCAGGACTAATCCAAAGTCCAGTGAAACCCATCTGAGCTTTTTCACTCAGATTTTGAGAGAGAGCATTTCCTTAGTAYTATTGTCTGAGTATTACAGAATTCAGAATAATATATATTTCATTATCCTGTGCTATGAAAGAGAATGTGTATCCCAGATCTACAGCAATACACCGTTTCATGTTTGTTTGCCATTTAAGCTTTTCTTTTTTCTTTTTGAAATGAAAATTATAGCAATGCCAAATAAGTGATTTCTGCTATTGCTAGTACCTGGACAGAGTACCTCAGTCTTATTAGAACTGCTTTGGATGGCAGTCTTATCTCAGGGATGATAGTCACTTATCAAAACAGCATTCTGTAGCGCTTAATTTTGGTGATCCGAGGAAAAGGAGTGGAAGGAACTGGAACAAATTATCATACTAGGTTAAGAAATTATATTTCAGACATTTTTAAATAGCACTAAGTAAAATTAATCTGTAAGGATTGTTTTTGGTCTGGTTTTGAGACTGAAACTAAAAATGCAGGAAGTGCATCATTCTCTCAATATGTATATGCTATGTAGTCCTCTGATATCCATGTTTTCCCTTGTTCTCGAATCCTAGGGAATCCCTCCGTGAATCTGCCGGTGATAATGGGTTGTAGGTAGTTCTCACTGTTTCACTACCCTGTGAATACATGTAGGGCCCCATGAGAGGAACACAAGTTGAACGCATTTGTGTTGCAGCAAAGCAGTAACTGAACAGCCTTTGTCGAGTGCCAGAGCTAGGAGGCAGTGCCCCATGTGCCATGTCGTGTGTATCTTCCTGCACGAGCACTGACAAAGTGGCCACACTGATGCCTACCTTACACCCACCCAGCAAAGGGAAGGCTTGGCTGGAATGCTCGGTCTCGTTGACACGCTGCTTTGCAGTCTTTCTATTTGAAAATTATCCCTATCGGCCAGCATTCATGTAGCAAATCCTTGGGCTACGTGATTGATTTTCCTTTTTTTACAGCATATACTGATAGCTGCAGAGGATGCAACAGTTGGGCATCACAGAGATTATTTCTGCAGAGGTTACATTTTACCACCCTTTCCAAGGTCAAATGCAGTCARACTACGATTTGACTATTGAATACATTTGAAGAAGACCATCTTATCCGGCTTCTGGGAATGTTATATTTTGTGTATTTTACCCATAAGATAGACAAATCTGTTAGGTGTAAGAGGGTTACATTTGTAGTAATCAAAGAAAACCACAGACTTTGGCTGGATTAAACAGCGGGAGGTTTTAAATCAGCCAGGAAATCACAAAGTAAGCTGAAAAGGAGTTTGCCAAGCATTTTTGATTCATTCTAGGCATCACATAGCAACAGTTTCCATAACTGTCAGCATTTTCAAAGGAGCAATGTCATTATTTCAGCCACAATAACATTCTGAAATTCAAGAGGCTATTAACAATACACAGAGAATAAACACYAGTGCTCTCCTCCCTATATGAAGAATCCTTCATTTGCTACCTRCACACATTTTTCAGATAGTATCCAACACAGATTTCCTATATAAAGCATTTCACTGTCAAATTATTAATTTCATATTTATATTAAAACTTACCTGTCATAATCAAAGATACATTAATATCACATTATTTCAAGAAGTTTCRGTTTGTATTGCTTTTGTTTATTCTGCTAACTTACCCTGCTGTTTTGTTGCATTTGTGAAGACAACAGTAGATATTTTCCAACTCAGAGCTGAATTTGTCAGGAAATTGTGTGTTAGGCTGAAGAAAATAACCAATCATTTAGAAAGTAATCTTTAATATTTTAGAATCTGCATGTGGTTTGTCTTAGGTTAGGAAGAAACAGACCAAAATGATTCTCAGTCTGAAGTAATAACAAACATTTTAGGAATATTTATAAATGCATATAGGTGTAMATATAACTTTATACTGAGCTGGTGATTTAGAGACTCAACATCATGCTAATGATATACCAAAATAAATCTTTTGTTTCTATCCAGCTAGCCTAGAATAATATAGATATGGACTGAAGAGCAATCTCTGGAACTGCCAACAACAGGAATTAATGGACAGGCAGTGATATTCATCCTCATCACTTTAATGCTGTTACAGGATTATGAGGACTGGAAGGGGCTGTGAGATTCCAGGACGCTGAAYCCAGTTCCTGGGGGTTTTGGCAGTGGCTTTAATTATCTTATTTCATGTGAACTCATCAATTTGTAACTTGAAAGTTTATGATGATCACAAAAGAGTTGATGGCTGGAAAGTATCTACAAAATTCAGTCCTATTTCCCCTCACCCCTGCTTTTCTTGGCAGGTCTTTAAAATCCGGCTTTGTATCCACTTCTGCTTGCCATGAGCTCACATGCAGATTGATACCACCAGGTAGGGTACCTGTGCTCCTCTGGGTACACAAGTGCTGAAATATTCAAGCAACCCGTCAAGCTGAATTCAAAAGAGCTGTTACTTATCAGTAACTTTTCAGCAAGTCTGATAGTTGTTGTTAAACAGCCTGTACGATAATACTCTGTGCTAGAGTGAAAGCAAAGCAATTACATGAGTAGAAATTCAATAGTTCGTGCTCTTCATGCAGATAATACTTCCCAGTTCTGGTGTCAGGCTTCTGAGGCCAATCTGTTGGCTTTGAAATGTATCCATGTTAGTCTGAACAGTGCTAGAACTCTATATGTCTGCTCTTTCAGTAGGTTTTATTCCCCACAGAGCTGTTTTCACTCTCCCATCTTTCATAGAGAACATGAAAGGACAACACTTTTCTGTACTAAATGTAATGCTTTTTTGTGCACCTCAAAGAGTCAGCTCTATAGCAGTGATCAAATAGAAATTATTGGTATAGATTATCATGGCTTTTCTTCTACATTGTTAAATTATTCTACTTTTCCATCTGTTCCCTAGCACTCCTAGTTATAACTATGCTCCAAACCCAGACAAGCACTGGATAATGAGGTATACAGGGCCCATGAAACCTATACACATGGAGTTCACTAACATGCTGCAGAGAAAGCGTCTTCAAACCCTCATGTCTGTGGATGACTCTATGGAGATGGTAAGATTAGTATTCACTTTTACCCAGGTCAACAGRTGCTTTTTCCTTAGAATTAAGCTACATAATGCTTGTGGCATGTGTGTATTCACTGTATTGTCTTGTATTCACTGTATATTGTATTCAAGATGTAAGGAGCCTCATCTAGAGGCTCTGTGAGGTGGGAGGTGTAAGCAAGCTGTTATTTTTTGCTGAGGAATTGCTATTGATTAAGGGAAGAGGGATTACCTGAAAAAAAAAAAAGTCATAGATTTATCAGATATATTTATCCCAATGGTAAAAGGTCATCCTATAGTCTGTTGGAGATGAATAACCTAATTATGGGTCTGTTTTAATCCCACAATGCTGTAGCTTTTTGAGAGAACTAGGGAGAGAGAAAAAAAGAAGTTAGACCAATCCTAACTGAAATGACACAATGGTAAAACAGGCCCAGTTGTTAAATACACAAAGGATTTTTTTTTTTTTTTTTTTTTTTGAGTTGTCTGCATCATGTTACAATAAGATTGCAGAAATCTTGCAGGGCAAGTTGGGTGTCTTGAATAGAAACATCTGAACTAGCTAAAAGACTACTGCAAAAGAGCCTGGATTTGTTTCCAGTTGCAAAAAGTCAGCTATAAAGGTGTTGCAACGTGCTGCTGATCTGCTGGCATTCTCACTCAAAACGGTAACGCATAAAATAAGCAGAATCCTGAAGGCAAGGAGGAAATTAACAAGTTAAAGCAATGCCATCCAGATAGTAATGTCTTATAATTACTGATTCAGGAAATTATGATCTCTGCTTCATATTAATGAACCTGATCCCTTAGATGGATCAGATACCAGKATTAAGGAAGCTTAGCTAGACTTTATTACACTATTTTCATTTTCCATTTAGTACAATTATTTCATTTGGTATGAGTTTATCATACCTGTGTTTCATTGGAGACAAAATGTTTGTTTTTCTTTGTTTCTTCTCATTTTTGTCTAATCCCTAAATTGGTCTGGGTTTTTTTTGTTTGTTTCCCACTGAATTGTATGTGTCTAATGGTCTTTCAAAAATTCTTTCTTAAAAAGTTTATTTTTACTACTGGAAGAGATAACCTTGAATTTATATTGATGAAATTCTGTCTGTGTTAGAGAAGTTTATTTTGATACAGGTTAGCATGATACGTTACCTGACATTTAGAATAGTCTGTTGTGATGACTCAGTGACATGCTGAGGTATTATTTATGTGCACATTATATATAGGCAGAAAACTGTACCCAGCGTTCTCTCTATATAGTACTATGTAATGCAAAGAATGTCATGCTTGTTTTGTTTTGCTTTTTTTTCCCCAGATTTATAATACGTTGGTTGAAACAGGAGAACTGGACAATACCTATATAATATACACAGCTGACCATGGTTACCACATTGGGCAGTTTGGGCTAGTGAAAGGAAAGTCCATGCCCTATGAGTTCGATATCAGAGTTCCTTTCTATGTCCGAGGTCCAAATGTGGAGGCCGGGTCCTTGTAAGTTCTTGGCTAATGTGCATGTGTGTGTGTCTATATTGTGAGCAGATACACCCATTATATTTACATCTCAGGTCATGTTGGCTTGACATCCTAATGGAGACACCAAGTAATGCCAGCTTGCATAACTACCTGCTCTTCTTTGGCAGCAAAGTGGGTCCACTCAGACAGCAGAATTGACAGCGTTTGCTATCAGTTAATATAAATGATATATAATTAAGGTTTTTGCCACTACCATTTCCATGTACAGGTGTGCAGTTCAGGTCACTCTTCTTTCAGGGTTGAAGCTTGAAAAGTCACTTGGAAACATGTCTAATCTAGGAAACATTGATTTATTTCCTTTTGAAAAGTGGAAAAAAATACCCATAACTAATACATTTTTCAGGTGAAACTACGTGATACAATGTTCACTGGAACAATAGATAATTATTGTTGGACTTTAATTAAATCATTTTGTGGCACCACTTGTTCCAGCTTGTGAGGAAGAATGTATGTAGTACTTTACATAGCAATTGCCATGGAAGAGTCTCCTTGGCTCATCCTTTGTGAATACAAAGGTGTGGGTATCTGTTTGTCATATACCCGCAAGCGTGCAGAATGTGACTGTTAATTCAAATGGTAGCTTTGATCAGCTAAGAAATTATGTAAATATGCTTTCTAAGCAATTATTTCAATATCAAATATTTGCACTTAAGTAATGATTTTAGACAGTGCCGTAATTTGCTGTCCTTTCTTTATATCAGCGTGCATGCTTTAGCATAATTAACATCTATAGTCTTTCATACACACATTTTTTTTCTCCACTTCAGAGGACTAGATTTAATGTATAATAGAGTAATAGTGTGTAAATAGCAAGTAGTTATAAAAAATGCCATCCCATTTGCTGGTTCACTTATTCATCATACCAACAAGACAAAAAAAAAAAAAAAAAAATCACGCTCTTCCTAAGGCGCAGTCCTAATAGAATCTCAAGATTAGGCTTTTGGAGGCCCAGATCAGGGACTCCCAGCCCTGTAGGCTGCACTGGAGGGAAGGGGAGGTCTTTTGGTAGAAACGAACAGGTTACTGTGGTACTGAGAGAAGTCTGTCTGCAGCAACTAGTACTTTCAAGTGAGATGGCACAACCTCCTGAGACCTTGTTCTTTCTGAAATAAAGACATATGTGTATGTGTTTTGTTTTAGATATATATTTATGCCTATGCTCTCTATATAATATATGCATATACACACATGCATATAGAGGGAGGGATGTGTGTGTTTTTCTTTCTCCCTTCAGCTGCAGTTTCTGGTCTCATTGAAGAGTTCATGCTAATGTGGCCAAAGCAGACTGAGCTAGTTTTCCTGCAGTTTTCCAGCAGGAGGCCAGCCAGCTCATAGTTCATGGATCTTTACACATAGGCAGGCACGAAACTTGTGAAACTTTCCCATTGAATTTTATTTTTCTGTGCCTTCTGATGACAAAAAAAAAAAAAAAAATATTTCTATTAGCATCAGGAGTCAGCCTGGCAGAACCTAGCAGCAGAACAAATAGGAAAAACAGGATAGAATACCTTGGAGTAGAAACATGTCAGATAATAAATTTATCCTCCCTTTCAGCCTGAATTTCTTTACATGGTAGAAACCCAATCATCCGTGTTTTTCATAAGCCTTATGTTTTTTCCTGCAGAGTAATTTTTGTGGCTCTCTTTTGATACCAAAGAAGATTTAATAGTAGTCACTGCAGCAAGTCATTACTAAGCTTTCATTTCTATTACAAAATATGCTACACCACAATTATTAGTAATTAAAATCAAATTAGGTACATTGATTTAATTCATCATCCGTGCTCTTGTCAGTGCCTGTTTGCCCGCTTGCTCAAAAAAAAGGTAGTAATTTATAAATGATGGATTATTAATTAGTGTGTATACAGCAGCTTTCTTCTGTCCTCTGTCTTGGGCTGCAATCCTGCACTGGCATTTATAGCAGCCCATCTGTCCTATCCTTTCTTTGTGCGTGGAAATCATAGCAGGGTCATTCTTGTTGCTCAGTGCTGTTAGAAGATTGTCTACATAGCACTATGTTTATTGGCTTTTTTCCCCCTCCAATTAAAAAAAAGAAAAAAAAAAAAAAAGTACCTTCCTTGTTATTCTTTGGTAAGAAATAAGAACTAAAAATGGTGTGCCGCTGATAAACAGTATGTGTATATGTGTGATGGTATGGTTTATTACACAACGTCATGGATGTATTTCAAAAAAAATTTGTTTGGTGCAACATAAACTGAAAGCACTTCTGCAAAACTGGACCCGTATGATGTGATTAGAAATCTGGACATTCTTTGAGCTACTGGATGCTGGACTGTGTAACTAGATGCTCTGAGACAGGAACGCTCTCATATTTAGCTGTGGCAGCTCAAGGGGATTTGGAATGGGAACTGTCTTTATTCATCTGGAGTTGACACCAAGATTTTAATTTAATTTGAAATCAGTGTAAGTTCAAGTGTTGTCTTGCTAGCTGAGGTGGTGAGGAGCATATGTCTCTGCTCTGCTAAGCAACATAGCAAGCAGTGCAGAAGCCTCAGTGTCAAAGCTGTTTATAAATGGTTGCAGGATGGAGATCTTTGCATTTAGGAAGGCTGATATTATCTGACTTAAAGCTGTTTTTTTTACACACTCTTTTGCTTTCTCCGTAACTGTTTTCTCCCTTTTTTCTTTCTTGACTGCTTACTGTTTCCTGGCTCATAGTCTGCCTCAGCAGTCGCTCTATGTTACTTGCTGTGGTAGTTGGCAATGTGTTTCTCCCCATGTTCTCTTCAGAACACACTTGCTATGGTGTGAACTCATTTCTATACCATATTTTGAAACRGATAAAGCCTGTGCTACCTGCCAAATATACTTTTTAAATAGTATTATCAACATATTTGGCAGAAACTTTAATTCTGTAGGACACCCAAGGAGGTTTCTCATGTTTTGAAAGAGTTTTGAACCCTTCTGTGCAATAATTAACTAACTTTGCTTTATGACCTACTTTACATTCTCAAAAATATTCTGTGCCAAAGTTTAAATCTTCATGTTAGTCCCTGCTGCGTCCTGCGGCTAAGTTTTTACTGATGCTTAACATTTTGGTTCCGTTTAGTACTGACTGCATTGGATTTGGGTCCTGTTTGTTCTTTGCAGATGTCACTGTAGTTGTTTGGTAATTCTAAACCAGGTTCTCATAATTTTTTTCAGGAATCCTCACATTGTGCTGAACATTGATCTTGCACCCACAATTCTAGATATTGCTGGACTCGATATTCCATCTGACATGGATGGTAAATCCATTCTGAAGCTTCTAGACTCTGAGAGACCAGTGAATAGGTAACAAATAGAAAAGTGCATGTAAACATACATTTGTTTTTGTAGGATAAAGGACAGGAGATGGGGCAAGTATTCGGCCACATGCAACTAAACTTAAAGGAAAATGTAATAAAATTACATCTATTATAAGTACATCATTCATAGGTAAATCTAAAGACCTATTTAGAAATATGTGACTGACCTCATTTATTTATTTTTTCTTTGTCAGCTTCATATATTAGCTGTATGGGATACAGTTCCTGGATATACTGAATGTAGTCAGTGTGGTAGTGAGCGGGCTGCATGTGGAGGTTTTGGCTCTACGAGTTACAGATTTGAAATGTGCCTGTGGCATCATTCATGGCAAGGCATTTCATGTTGAATAAACTGTAAAATAATTGAGTTGAAAGGGTTGGTCGTGTATCAGACTATGATATAAAGACAGATGAGCACTCAAAATTGCACAGTATTTTTTTGTGTTTTTTGAGACCTTCCATCATAGCTTTCATTAGAAGAAGGCTGAGGAAGAGAATTAAACTGGATAGAGAAGATCAGCAGTTAGTATAAAGGGAGACAGAAAGAAGGAGATTTGCTTTATAAGTAGATGGGCGGAGGGAGAGGGGGAATAGGAGCAGCTGCTTTAGAATTGGATACTATGGGAATGGCGTGCAGGTTAAGAGCCCAAACTCAATTCAGGAAATGCTGATTTAATTTGCAGTCTTTTGTGATCAAGGACAATTCRGTTAATCCCCTGTGCCTTAAAAGTGCCTAAGTTGAAATAGTTGTTAAACTGTATGAATCTGTTGCAAATTTTGTCCCTACAAGAACAAATGTGTTCTGTTTGTTCGTGATTAGCACTGGCAAGGCATATGTGCTTGCTTCCTAAAGCTGCGTGGTCCCTCGAGAGACCAGTGTAATGTTTCCTGTCTGAATTGGGAGTAGGAGAGAAAGCTGGGGAATTTGATTACTATTTTTGTGCAAATTTGTTTCTTCACTCTGCTCAGGTTCCATTTGAAGAAGAAGATGAAGGTGTGGAGAGACTCCTTCCTGGTGGAGCGGGGGTAAGGACAGGGTTAATCACAAAGCCCTCTCTATAAACAGAAGGCTGCTGAATAGCTAGAGACAGAGCAGGCTCTGCCACAGCCCAAGCCCTTCCCCTGTGCCAGCAGGGACAGGGCAGTGGCTGTGCCCAAGGAGGCTGTGYATATCCTACACCTAGGAGGGTGTGTATATCCTGTACCTACAGCCTGCATGAGTGTGCCAGTGCAGTGATGGTGGGGAATATGATGCAAAAGGGGGAAGAAAGACATCAGGTTTTGCTCTAGCTGCTGCCTTCTACCTTSCTTATACGTATCATGGGAGAACAAATAATCTCTCCTGTGTGGTTGTCAACCGTTCGCTCTCTGCCTTTGCTTTAGTACGTAGCAGTTTGGCAGGACAAGGCTGCAAAAAGCAGCTCTGGTCTAACTTCCTGATGGAGAAGGAGATGGGCTGCTGTTATTGCCTGCCCAGCAGCCACGCCGCAAACTGGCAATCTSAGCTACAGCGCTAGAGATCCTGAAGATAGCCTGCTGGTCTGAGCCTTTGCAGCAAAATGTGTATATTTTGGAATTAAGGTTCATGCCAATTTTTTCTTTTCACTCCAGTAAATTGCTGCATAAGAGAGAGAACGAGAAGGTAGATGCCCAAGAAGAAAACTTCCTACCCAAATACCAGCGTGTGAAAGACCTGTGTCAGCGAGCTGAGTATCAAACAGCCTGTGAACAGCTTGGGCAGGTGAGGCATCCAGCCCCTGACTGAATGTGAGCAGTCCTAGCTGGGCTAACCTTAGCACCTCTTACAGATGGTGACAATGTGCTTCCCTTTGTTGTCAATGCCAGCTTGTCACTCAAATGGTTCATTATGTGGTCTTTGCTCAGAACTGTATTATGTATGACATTTATGAGACTTGCTCCCAGTCGAGAAATTGCTGATTCAAGTGGCCGTGTATTGATTTCTGACTGCTGAGAGAGAACAACGGAGGCTGTTTTAACATTATACTCCCCAAACAGAATGTGGTTTGGGGTTCCTTGCTGATGAGAAGCTACAGTGAGCCTAACAGATTAACCTACTCCAGGTGTCCGTGGCTTCCTTACCTTGAGTTCTTAATTTAATACCTTTCATTATTATTAGATTTGTGTATCATATTAGTAACATTCTGTGAACTCAATATATCCCTGCTGCTAGCAAAAATATACAGTGAAAACATACACAGYTTTCAACCACAGGCAGTCTCTGTGTGTATGAGGGGGCACAGAGCTGTTTCTCTGGCACTGTGTATGTTTTCTTCCTGCGTCTGGCTATACCGACCATGTAACTCAGGGCTTCTGTGAAATGAGTCTGTTGCTCGTTAAGTATTTTTTCTTGAAAATACTGACATTAGGGAAGTACTAACTTTTGTGCAGTAGTTTATTGTCATCAGATGAAATTTTAGATGGGTGGGAGCAAGCCATTGTATTTCAAATTTGACACATTCTTTGAGAAATCAGGGGAAAAGTCATTGGTTCTGCTACAACATCCTCCAGTAAGTAGTTGGGGGAAATAAGACTTTTCTTTTTCCATCTGTGTTTTGCCTTTGAGGATTATTTCAGTTTCTTCCTTTGTTCATTTTCTTCCCAATTATTTTAAATATTATTGTAGGGACAGAGGGGAAATGAGACTTTCCAAGACCACATTGTCACTGAGGCTGTCTCTTTACATAAGTTAACTTAGCAATATTCAGGCTTTCTTGCTATAATTACCACATGTCTCGGTTATAGAAGAGAAGGAGACGTCCCTGTATTATCTGCACACAGGCACAGGCTTCTATTTTCTCTAGGGAAAATAAAGTATCTTTGACATCTGTAGGAAGAGGGGGAAGAATGTCAGCTCTGTACTTAGAATTGCCAATACRTTTCAAAGTGAAGGTGTGCTAATAAGAGATGTGTGCACTGCATCCTCACTCCGAGCAGACTGGGAGGAGGAGAATTGTTTTGAGCCGTTGAGTCAAACGTAATTGGAAGTGATAGGATGAAATTGAGCAAAAAAGAAATTTAAGTCGGACATCAGGAAAAAATTGCTTAACAATCAAGTCAATTAGAGTCTGGGAAGGACTCTCGAGGGAGTCTCAGTCCATCTAACCCCTACTCCAGAGAATATGTCCTCGTACTCTGTCTAGACAGCAGGAACAGTGGGAAATGAATGTGCTTACTTGAGGGTAAATTGTCCCTAAGTGTGGGTGCACCCTAAAGTCTTCTCAGAGCAAAGAATAACTTCTCAAATGACAATTGATTGTTGTTTGTTTGCTGATGCTGTTCACAGCTCTGCATAGGGAGTAGCGTGTGCCCAAATGTACTGCCCACATTGCACTGGTTTGGGGGCATTTATTTTGTACAGATATGGGGGTTACTGACCTGGCAGGGCACTTAATTATCGTGCAGTTAACAGTACCTGAAGTGTTTAGTACAAGAGATGAGTTTTTACATCCTGGTTTAAAGATGAAGTGGAGTCGGGGTCAGGACTTAGCTGAAGCTGAAGTCATTAGGAGTCTCTCTAGACTCAAATAACTTCTGGGGAGGCTGCTACTCTATGCACGGAAAGTGCCAGAGCCTGTGAAGGGTGAACAGGGAGACAGGAGCATGAATGGAGGAGAAAGACTCAGGAGGGGAGTGAACAAGAAAAGACAAGGACGAGGTTTTGAGGAGAAAGTTGTGAATGTGAGATTGAGAACTTGAAATCCCCCTTTGTGAAAGCCCAGGCTTGTGAATACTGCTCCATAGCCACTAAAGGCTCTTCCTTTGCAGATCTCTGCCACCCTCCTTGACCTATAATCGTTTTGATAAGGGAGCACCAGGATCATGGAGATGAGGCTATTCACAGCGTTTAAACCCTTGTTTCATAGTTCATTATATGGGATCTTTCTGGCAATGTAATATATGTAAATGCTTCTCAGTGCAATGGGAATGTGTGTGTTGCCATGTTTCCTTTTTCAGTTAGTTGGGTTTGGGCTGTGTTAGTTATTTGCATCCAACAAAGGGTAACTGTAGCCTCAGATGAAAGAGCAGCCTGGCATTTATATTCAAGGATTTAAGAGATGAACTCTTTCTTCCCACATGAAATAAAAAACGTTTATCCTAGTACCTAATGGCTTGCACACAAATTCCTTCTCTCCGGCATGGTTCAACTTTTCATTCTAAACTGGCTGGTAAGTGGAAGCTGACCCACTTTTATCTGGCGGTCTGCATTAATGTGCTTTTGTGGAAGCCAATTATGATAGCAGCACCGCTCTGCGGAGTATTCCCAGCTACTCCTCAGGATCATAGCAGCAGCTGCACAGAATCTCCCTTTAAGTCATTTGCCAACTTTTTGCATACTCGCTACATATGCGATACCTACAGCACTGCCAATTGCTGTAGGGAGGCTGTACTGTACGTTTGAAAAAAATAAGATTTTTGTCTTTGACAGGCTTGGTGTAGTACAATAATATTTCTAATTTGCAGAGAAAACAGGTGCCTGAATTTATGTTATTTCCTTTTCAAACCTTTTTCTTTTCAAGGCTGCGCTTGCATGCAAATCTAATACAAGTAGAATTTTGCTTTACATAGCTTTAAAAAGCATATTTCATATGACCATGAAAATTCAAAATGTAAAAATTTGCACTTTGTTCCTTGCAGATGTTCTGCAAGTGAAAAATTGGTTACACAGCTATCTCTGCTTGCTTGGTGTTGTTCCACCTGCTGTTCAGGATCATGAAGGATCTTTCCTCTTTCCTTTCATGAGGAACGACCAAGTGGCATGAAGCTATCATAAGCAAAAGCATGCCACTTACTCGCCTGGTCCCCCAAATTCTGTGACATAGCATGGCAGAGCAGTGATGAAAATCATCCTGACTAATTTGGAAACTGCTGTAGGAAATCACATATGGCATCCGTAGACCGCATTCCTGCCACTATAATTATCATTTAGCCATTGTGTAGTGCCAGGGSTGGAACACTAGAGAAAATGGTTCATGTTTTCTCCTTTTCCTGAGGGCCCTGAAGCTTCTAGTTATGCTTGTGAGACCTGGGAAGCTAAATCGGGCTTTCTGAGGCACTTCTTTAACAACAGGGAAGAAAGTTCTAGGTCTCTCTCTCTCTCTTGTAGTTCAGCAGTTCTGTAGTAGCTAGCAGAGATACCCAGAGGTTACTAAGGAATTTAGGTCCCCTTGATAGCAGCGAATCATGTCAAACCACCTGGAATGCAGACGCTCTCAGCAGCGCGTTAGGTGGATCTTGGGAGTTCCTGTCTCCAGTGCAAGTTGCACGTGCTCAGCAGCTGCAGGGATCCCGATCTTCACTTGCAACTGCAACAAGAAAWGACTTGTTGATAGCTTCATGCATTAAAAATGTTATCAGCCCTCTAACTGATAACATTAGGAAGCAACTAACCATGAAAATTAAAATCACAGTGATTTATTAAGGACTCAATAATTGTACTCCTTATCAAGAATTATAATTAACMATGCTGGTTTTTCTCTTTTAGCCAGAAATAGCCTATAAAATGATGCCCAGAGTCTGTTTTTCTATTATGGTCTTTTTGTTCTTTATATGCTTCACAAAACGAAGAAATTCACATTTCTTGTTAACAAACAGATTTTTTTTTTAAACTCCCTGTCAATACAGTAGTGGATGTTGTTATGTACCTTGCCAAGGCTGACAGTGGCCTTGACTTAAAAGAAAAAAAAATGCTTAAACCCTCAAACATCCTGATACAAGGAGCACTGCATGTTAGCTCAAAGACAACATGGGGAAGATCAGGAGACGAGTGTCAGTCTCGGGACTGTCCAGGCTTGGGGTGAGAGCTCTGCCCAATTCCTTCCCTTCTCAGGGCTTCTGCCTCTTCCATCGTCACCAGTCCCATTCCTGGCGAGGCCGCAGGGTTCACTCACTCTTAGCTTCTGCAACACCTAACACGGCAGCTGGGAGCATTTGATAACATCCTGTAATTATTGTAGTAATATTTAATTATAATATTATCATGCTTCAGATTGGGTATTCACCTAAACTTTCATTTGCATGCTGATTGATCTAGCTACCCCACTAAAGCTATAGCTTGTGACATTAGAGAGACCCCTCATTTCCTGTCAATTCCTCTTGTAATTTTAAGGTTTGAGTGAGTGATTGACAATGGAACTTGAACAGAGAGTAGAGAGGTCAGATTCTCGAAAAATCATGAGCCAGTGTAATGAAATAATGTCCAGTTGGAATGAAGAGGAGGAAAGGAGAAAAAAAAACAAAACCAAAAAAAAACCCCAAAACAGAGAGCACTATTTATATACTAATGACATGAAATAGGAGAAACTAGATTCATCCTTTGATGATGGATAAATTGGATGAAGGTGCAGAGAAGAACCGCTCCCCCCCCCTGCAAAAATGATAAAAGATTAATAAAGATTAATAAAATAAGCTTTGTGAGAATGAACTAAGGAATTGGGCATATTCGGTCTGTAAAAAAAAAAAAAAAAAAAACAGCTAAGGAGAGAGACATCTGTCTGCATGAATCTTAAGAGATACTATGCAGAAGACAGGAGCCAATTATTTTCAATCAACAAGAACAGAGAAGTAGTGATGTGTGTGAGGCAGACAAGGGGAAATTCAGGTTGACTGTTTCCTGAAACCTGTAACATCTGAGCAGCAGGATGAGCTGCCAGCCAAAGCTGTAGAAATACCTCTCGGAGAGGCTTGTGCCTCTGCGGATTTTGCTGTATTATCCTAATTAGCCCAGGAAACACAAGGACACCCAGAAACCATAATGTGGGAGAAAAGCTATAGAAAGCACATTTTCTCATACAAGAAAAAATGTGACCCTACTGTTCAAGAGTAAATTTAGATTGGAAGCTACACTATTTCTAGCCCTTCTGAGAGTTTGTTTTGAAYTCACCGTACAATGTGGCAGCAGGAATGGGGTGCAGGAAACATCCACATGAGCTAAAGCAGATGAGTGCCACTGAGGGGAGTTTGTGGGGCTGCTGGCACTGAGGGAGGAGTTCCTTGTCCTGGAGAAATCTTGGATCCTAGAGCAGATAATCCTAAGGCCATTAGGGAAGGAGCCTTGCTACCAGATCAGACACAGATTCAATTTTCACTTCTCTGTGAGAAGGAATGATACCTCTTTTCCTTAACAAAAAGAGGAACTGATGAGATGTAACRTGATTACTTAGGACTCCAGCCCACAGATCTGTATGTTTTGTCTTCTCTAAGCAGGACTTGTGTGATTAGCCCTTTTTTCCCCAAGGACAACAATGTCGACTGAGAGAGATTCACTGAAGAAATGAGTGAATTGCATGAAATATCCTACTGGGAAGGTCATGGCCGTTTATTTCTGACTGGCCCTCAAGTAATGACTTTGYATTAACATCAGTAATTGCTGTAGTGGTAAGAAGGCTCTGATGCACAATAATGCAAAACCACTTGATGGTGATGGAGGTTGTTAGAGAAATCCTGGTTTTCTGACACACAGGAAAATGCATGTTGTCTTCCATTAGGGGATCATTTGCATGTTCAAGGTTAATAGTTTTGCTGGAGAGAAGCAGGGCATCTATTTGGAATACAACTGCTGCTGTTAGATTCATGTTACGTTAATATTGAAGTTCTAATTTGCTCTTGTTGATATATACAGTATATAGTTAGGCTTTGGGGGAATTTATGTAAACAGGCTGTCTTCTCTTTAACTTCAGAGCATACCTTTGAACCAGATTTCTGTTAAGTAGGACTAATTTCTCCATTAAATACAGCCCAGGCTCTTCTGAATCACATGGGAAGAACTGTGAGTAGCATGTTTTGAAGTGGGAGGTCGGGTAGAGATTGAGGTGTTAAAACAAGCCCAGCGCAGTAGGTGGCAGAAAGCACCAGCGCAGCCACTACCTTGGCACTGCTTCCCTAAAAATGGTGGGAAACCTCCAGCTGGAACAACTTTGATGACTAAAGGTGTCTGGAAAGTCTTGCACAATGTGGGCTTGATGGGCTTCAGAAGGTAGTGCAGAAGCCATTTATCTAATGACTTGAGCACAGGAATCACAGAAGGAAGAAAGAAGGGTCCTTCCTTTGGAGTTTTGACAAGAGCTGGGATAAAGATTGTGGAAGAGCTCATGTTTTCCACTGTTCCYTAGTTTATGTTAGAGCTGCTTTCCCTTTCAGGACTTAGTTCCTGTGACATATTATGAGCTACATAAGGACATATTACATAAGGACATATTACRAGCTGAATAAGGAATGTATCTTTTGGACTGATGAAGAAAAGACCTGAAAAGTCGGGAGCAAATGGTGAACTAAGGGCACTTTGCTTTTTTGGCCGAGTTAATCCACTATTTATATGTAATTATATTTTGCTGCTGGATGATTATCATTTGTGACTGTGAGCCAAAGTATCTCCGAGGCACTTAGACGTCTTTATATAGGGACTTAATTATTTAGATGATTACCTTTTTAAAAATACTGTAGTTGCTTCCAGGAGTTGACAGTGGGTTTTTGTATGTTGTGCACTAGATATAAATTCAAAATGCCAGAATTCACAATGGTTAAAGCTTCTTGAAGCTTTAAGTCAAGTAGGGATTTTCACAGTTCCATTTCTACCACTGTCCTTTTCCCTAAGTTTGAAAACATCCTGTGGGAATGACTACATCTGATATAGCCATGATGCTGAGGTTGTGTTTGTACTTACAAGAAAGCAGGGGAAGTTGTAGGATCCCAGACACATTTTCACACATGCCTGTACCTATTTTAAGGAAAACTAAGAGCCTAAGACTCTCCTTTATTGCAACATGTTATTCRGTGTTTGCTTTGAAGTGGTTTACATTCGTTCAGCAATGGGCCTGTTGATGTATACACCATGCCCTTCCAGCAAAGCCTGGAAGATACTTCCATGTTAGCATACAGCTGCCTTGGAAAGCACCAAAAAATAAAGGAATTCTTCCAGTTCACCTGGAGGGGAAAAGTGAGCATCGCTGGCTTTTTTTTGACAGGAGATTAAAGAAATGGAGAATAGCTATTTTGGACTTCACATCAGGGAATTTATTTATGGCAGTTTTCATCATGACATTTAACTTTTTGTTGAATCTGTTGAAAAGGCCTTTATTATTAATATAGTGGATTTCTACAACAGAGTTCTCTTGGGCAGAAAATGCAATTTGTTCATATATTTCCCCAAACAAGTTTCATATGACTCTAAATTGGAAACAACAAACATTTTACAACGTTTTTAACGGCAAAAGACTCGTTCTAGTAAAATAACTTTTACTTCAACCTGCAGAGTATATCAGCCCATTCAGACATTGCCAAAAAAAAAAAAAAAGGCAATTGGTTCTTCAAAGACTTTTTTGTTCTGTGTCCCTCCTAGGAAAACATACCCTGCTTTAGGTTTAAAGACAGCCATGCAGTGATGTAGCTTTTAAATGTCTGATTACCAGTGTCTGTCATTGATTTCCTATGATTTCTTGTGCTGAGAGTTTAGCGAGGTTTATCTACGTCAGCACACAGCATGGATCCTACAGGAGACAGGGCATCATATCTGCCTCTCTGAAGTAATTATTGCTCAGGAGACCTGGCGTCCAGCTCTATGGAAATGAGCAGACACGCTCTAAACCTCCAAACTTTTACAGAGGGAGAGGAGCTCACGTCGGATGTACATGAATCAAATGTAACTGGCCAGTTCAGTGCCGGCTCCTGTTAAATTCCCTACAGCTAAATTCCCTACTAGCACAACGCTACTCTTTTTACTTTCCTGTCATGCACATGCAAATTTCCCTGGGAAATGGAAGCTTTTTGCACAAGCCTGGGAGCACCTCACTGTGCGAAGAGGTGATCGCCTCTTCTGCACAGAGCTCCAGGCTGACTGTAAAATGTCATCTCACTTGAGACCTCTGGCTGTTTTTCTTATCTGTTCTTTTATTTGGGAATTTACTGATCCCCAAGTAAGTCCTGGAGGCACAAATTACAGATTCTGTATAGGAGAAAGGAGGAACTCCTCTCAAGATTTGGTGAAAAGCTGAAGTGCTTCCAAGTGACAGTAATAACAGCTACTGTGTCTTCTTTGTTAATGTATCCTAAAGTCTAGTTTAGAAGCTAGTAGTAGTGTGTTGGCAAATAAAAGAGTAGGTAAAATTGTTTTGTGGTTYCTCTAGGAAGTGGGTAGGTGCCTTTGTGCCAAACCGGAGGTGACTAAACTGCCTTGCACTTGAACCCAGCTCTGGCAGAAGCAGAGGCACTGTAAGCAAGTGGCCTCAGGCTTAAGGTAAAAGAAGGAATTGGGGATTAGAGATAAGATTTTCTTTAGTCTGAGAGAAAGAAGGATTATCATTTTACAGGCATCCCGTTCAGCTCCCCTTTAAACTGACTCGAGCTCAAGTGTATTGAATGGGAAAAGCTCCTGAGAGGAGCTCTCTGGATGGAATTAATCCCATCTAACTGCAGACATCCGGAGCTGATCCAGTCATCTAGACCCTTTCTAGGTCAATGAAGATAAACAGGCACTTGTGTAGGGCCTATAAGGTAGTCCTTTTCTCATCTCTTTTATATGTCTGCTTTAAGATGAAATGAATTGTACCCAGCTGCTGCCTGTTCCCCTCTGTTGGCTGAAGATGTCTAAATAATCAGCTCAGATAATTGAATACAAAAAAAAGAATCTGCAATTTGATAAATTCATCCCACCACCAAGCTAGGAACAAAAAGGAAATTCCTCAGAAAAGTTGCTTCCCTTCTATAGGGCAGGGGATGGGGCAGAGATTATACCAGGCCTGGATCTGTTCAGCTGAATGATAGTGGCTCTGGGACAGGAGTGGTGCGATGGTCGTGTAGGTTACAGACACAGCTCTTTGTAAGCAGGGATCCTTCTCAAACTCGGTAGATGAGCTCTGAAGTTCCTTGGTTCGTCGCACAGGTCTCTCTTCTCGGACCCGTCACCATGTTTTTAGCAGTAATATTGATTTTATTAAGCAGTTCCCAATGTTCTGCCTCCCAGAAAACAAATGCGAGAGTGTTACAGAGAGCTGCTGTGGTGTCTGAGAACATTAGAGAAACTGGTTTTGGTAGCAGGCAATAGATAAGCTCCAGCTTACAGTGAGGAGGACTTGCTGGCCATTGGACAATATAGATTTGAGGCAGAGCTTTATTGATCAAATGTTTCTTCCAGAAATGGCAGTGTGTGGAAGATGCCAGTGGGAAGCTCAAGCTACACAAGTGCAAGGGAATGGCCAACTTGGCAGCTTCAGGCAACAGCAAAGGCACCTCCAACCTTTTGCCCAAGTATTACAACAGGAACAGTGAAGACTGCAATTGTGAAGAGAACGAATACAAGCTGAGCCACGTCGGTCGGAGAAAGAAACTCTTCTCCAAGAAGAGTAAGTGAACCCACTATGTCTTGTGTTTCTGCCTTAGAATTTGTTCTCAAACACCCATAATTGTCCTGATTTTCACGGACATTAAATCCTACAGATGTCCCTGAAGACCAGGCTATTTATTAGGCATCTAAATACAAAGATGGGTATCTCGTACTGAACAATCAGACTTGAAAATATCCTGTGTAGGAAGAGCAATGTTTTGATAGAATATATGGTCCCATTTATTTCTTTTGAAACTAGGAACTGCTGTACACACACTGAAGCGGCAAGCAGCATCTTTACATAAGCCATGAACAGTGCTGTATAGCAAGTCCTCAGATTTTCAGGAGATGCTGCAGTGCTTTGGGCCGTTACTGCAGTAATTTATTTTTAATAAGGATGCGTGCACAGTGTTACAGGGGCTGTTTGCTTCTGACATCCTTTCCTTATGCTCAGTCAGCAGAGCCAAGGCTGACTTTTAACCAGAGCTCACATCCAAAGGGGATGAGCCTGTTTCTGGTTTCCTTGGCACAGAGCAGGTGCTTTTTCAGAAAGCCCTTTACACTGGCTCTGTTTTAAACCCTAGGCTAATATCTATATTTGAAGTACCTAGTCTAATTATAGATTAAAGAGGCAAATGGCAGCACAGAATTATTATTCACTTGCAATGTTTCTTTCGTCTCACTCCACAAATGCCGAGCCTTAATTATTTAGCAGATTAGTCTTTCTCTATAATGACCTGGCACAAGCTTCAAACAGAGAGTTTAAATTGATTTTCTCCCATTATATTTGCCTTGCAAGCTGATTAGTACCTACTAAACTAATTTTAGTTGAAAAAAAAATTATTGGTTCCAAGATGAAATTACTCAATTATACTTGCTGTTTACTTATATGGCACAGCAGATAATCTTTAAATAACACTAGAGGTTGCAGTTCAATTAACTTTTTTTTTTATAAGTCACAGGAAAAAAAGTTCAGTTAYGGGGCATCAAATAACAGGAGTAAATCGAAGACGCTTAAATGTGAAGAGGCAAACAATTTAAGTGAGGGCAACATAATGCTATCTAATAATACTTAACACTTACTTAAGTGCTTTTCATCAGTGATGTGCTTCCTAAACATTAACTAATTTTCACAACATCCAGAGGAGGTGATTAAGTGTATAATTACCTTTCACTTGGGTATGAAGGAGGTTGAGGCAAAGGAGTTAAGGTTGCAAAGATACCATCAGCGGAGGGATGGGGCCATCCTTTCCCCAGGGTTCTGCTCGGCAGAGGCAGCATTTGCACCATCCCCTTCAGCTCRTGGTGCCTCCCTCAACCATGAGGCATAAATTTGAGCAGCCCGAGATAGGATCTTGGCAATCCTGTTCCCATTGCTTGTGTCTTGAATGAAATAATTGCCTGCAGATGCTTTACTTCTCCCTCTGCCCATACCCAGGGGGTGGTACACAGGGGAAGAGGTTCCCTTAGACCTGTTGGTCTTTCACATTCACTTTGCTAATACCCTGCGTGCCAAAAGGGCATGAACATCAAGCAGGGCAAGGCAAGGTTGCATCCCAGGGATATTTTTTTAAACAAGCTACTTAGCAGTTTGGTTCATTGGGTTGCAAATTGTCAAAGAGAAGCTAGAGCCTTGCAGCCCATGTTCTGCAGGCGGTGCTAGTGCCTGACCTCGATTTTGAGGTCGTGTGCGGGAAATTTATGAGTGTTGGGATGGGAGATAAAGCRGGTCGCACAGCCCGGAGGGAATCCTTGGGGTCTGGTACTCGAGGTCCAGTGGATGCGTGACATCGTGCAGCCCCCTTGGCTTTTTGTCAGATTTTTGTCAACGCCACCAATGCTTTTTGTCAGAGCAATAGGAAAACAGAAAATTGAAGTTTCAGTCTAGAATAGGCCCTGTCTGTATTAATGCTTTGGTTCACAGCAATAGTGTGCTTAGGAAGAGAATCCCCTGGTCGTTCCCTTTCCCCACGTGCAGCAGGGAGGTGTTTGCAGAGCAATTTTGCTGTGTTTTAGTCTACGGTCACTGGCAGAAAACTGCTCTGGTAGCTCTGCTGCTGCAGCAGCACCTCAGGTGCGTTCCAGCCCCGACGGACGAGGCTTCCAGAGAGACTCACACAGCTCAAGCACAGGCAGGAGGGTGGGCCAAGGCCACCAGACCAAACCCCGCCCTGCCAAAGGCCACATAAATTTTAGATGGAGGGGCCTGAGCACCAAATGTTTTGATGAACTAATTGCTCTCTAATGTAGATGTGACCCAGATGCCTGACCAGGTGCATCGGTGCATGTAGCAAGCAAGAATATTTCCTCAATTGAATAAATTTGGTAGCTTTTAATGCTATAAGCACAGAAACATTCRTGTTTGGTTTATCTGCCTTTGAGAGTCAGCAATTTTACCTGCATTTCTCTGCCCTCTTTGGTTTGCTTTTGTTTTAATAAGAAAAAATGAAGCAAAATTTTGCAATAGGAGGAAAGTTTAAAAGTGCTGGTGGACTCTGCCATGCTCTGCTGTGTTTTTCTTGCTGTGYATTGAATCTTTTCCTACTGTGATAAGCAAATGTGTGTGATTAAAGGAGTTTCTTAGCTGCACACAGGGAATGGGTAGGCTGCACAGGTCTGTAAACAAGGAACAGGAGTCTATGGAAAGGGTCTGCCACATTTTTATGCCGATTTTCTTATTTTCTTGTGAAGTAGTCTCAATGTTGTAGCAAAATTCCTATGTTTTAAGACATGACTTTACTTGTTGTGCAAAATCCCYGAATGTGCAAAATCTATTACTTTAAAAAGAATGAGGTAAAATTTTCAGTAGCGGTTGTAGGAAACTGGATTTCACAAGATTTCTTTTTCTCATTGAAGTCTCTAAGGGCACAGATTTAAAATAGTATTTTTGAATTCCCTTTGTGCCTGATGCTTAAGAAAAATCACCTCTAACCCCCATCCGTATTTCTTCAGTTTGAGAGATCCTCAAGAATTTAATTTAAAAGTGCCTCATTTCCCCTTGGTGTTAATTATGAAAAAAAAAAAAAAAAGTGCTGCTTCTCTGCTAAATTCTGAATATCTCCAGTTGGTGTTTACAAGGCTGGCAGCGGAGTTTTTCTTTGTGGCACATGTTTAACAGCAGATTGCTGCTTACTGCCTTATTCTGTGGTCATTTATGGTGCTAGAAAATGCATCAGATCCAAACCTACAGCGTAAACGGGTGGCAAACGGGAGCCCGAGCGGCCTCTCCGCTGCTGCGGCTCCCGCGGCGYGGCCGCGCTTTGCCTTTGGGGATATCGCAGTGCAGCAGCAACTCGCACATGCCTGGGTTCGGCTTCTCCGTTTTCCCTAAGAGAACTATCATTTCTGAATGATCTCAGTGTTTAATCATGAATTTGGCAGCTGCAAAGTAAGTAATAAGGCTCAAGTGCTGAGGTTGGGATTAGGCTGGGCAAGTTTGTCAGATATGAAGTTTATGGTTTTATAATAAAGCATTATCTCACTTTACTCAACTGAACAATAATTTCAGATACTGCAGTTCATGCTCTCACTCTGCAGTGTTGAAACCTGAGGCGCTGTTAAAAAATAGCTCTAAAAAATCAGTTGGGCGAGAGCCCCCAGTGGCCTGGGGAGATGCGGCCGAGGCAGAGCGCTTCCTTCCCGCTCAGGAGCGGGTTCCTCAAGTGACCCRAAGACAAAGCAGGATGATGAAGGCAAAGCAGGATGCCGGCAGCACCAAGCAGCACTTTATCCTCAGGGCTCCAGACTCTCCTTCCAGACTCAGTTTTGAGGATAGGACATTTCAGCAGTACCCGCTCTAGAGAGCTGCCTTCTGCATGGGCAGACCAAGGAGGACTCACAGAACTCACCGTGACTAAACCTGAGTGGTTTGAAAAGGGAGATAGATACATGGAGCCAAATGTTTAATAGTCCTGGACCTACTCTGCCTGTGGGTTGTGTGTGCAGTGACCTGCAGAGCAAAGCCTAACCTTGAGGGAGGATTCGGGGCTTAGGCTGGAACTTGTCCTTGGTGCATGTGGGAGAGCACGGCTGAATATCGATCTGAACCATTTTTGCTGGAAATGATGCTGTTTGGCACTAACCACAGCTCTGGGGTAGTGCAGTTCTTTAGGTTGGATTAGGATTTGGCTTCAAGGGAGAAGTGACTCCTGGGCTTTTGTGCTTCTGGGACCTGCGTGGGCTGCAGTTCCCYGCAGCTCTTTGCTGAGCTGGGTTGGCTTGAGAGAGCTGGAAGGGAGGGAAATTGCTAGTTGGCTGGGCTTGACAAGGTGAAATAGGGAACAATTAAAGACATGGGACTTTATACTTTGAATATAATTGGCAGGGTGTAGCTTTGAGGAATTTCCTCCTACTTATGAAAAGACTTCAGCTTCCTTCTCACTTATTCAAACGTTTCCTGAATGGGTGCCTGAAACCCGCTCTTTGGTTTGGGTTTTGTTTTCCTCTTTCTGTCCTCTCCTTGTTTCGGCTGTGACTGTCCTGGTTAGTGTCCRAGCCGCGGGAGCAGGGCGTGCTGAGTCCTTCACAGCCCATATCCACGTGGTGCATGTGCCCCTGGCAAGAACTCCCTGCTGGGACCAGTCTCAGATGGGAAGAGATGTTCCTTTCTCTTTCCCAAATCTTCCAAACACCTTTGGAGCCTGTGACCGTTCTGGAATTCGTAGAAGGTGTCAGGGTGTTGGCGTCAGCGCTGCCCAGTGGGGTGGATGTTTCTTCTGTCAATTTTTGCTCTATTCTATCCTACCTCCAGTTGCCCTTTTTTTATTTTGCCATGGAGATTGTCCCATAAAGAAAGTGGGCAATATGATGGAGCTAGGAATTGCCAGAAAGAGCAGCTCAGTGACGGCGAGTGGAGCCCAGGGACCTGCTCGTCTGTCCCGGGTGCCTCTAGGCCTCGTGTGGAGCAAGGGCCAGCAGCAGAGTGAGGCTCTGCGCTTGTGTTTAGTCCGGTTGTACTTCCTTTCCTAAGAAATGGGATGGTCTGTGTAATGTAAGGAATGAGTCGGACATTGTTGACAATGAGTAGGAAATAGTRGCCCAGGTGGATCCTATCCCGCGTTAGGGAAGTTTAGAAACTGGTTTAAACTCCATGGCTAAGGTGTATTCTTGCAGGTCCAGAACAAGCAGAAAAGCAGCTCAGGGCATGTGTGCTGGGACAGAGGACTCGGGCAGGCAGCAGTGGCAGAAAGATGAGGTCTCAAGCAGGGTGGCGGGCAGCATGTGGAGGCCAGGGCTGAGGGCCTCGCGGAGCAGCCGGGTGCTGCTTTGTCAAGACCTCCCTGGCCAGTCTGAGCTACAAAAAATGTTGCAAAGAAGTAGACTTGGATGGAGGGGAGGTTCAGGGTCAGCCCCTCTCCACAGAATGAAGTCTCTTACGTTGCAGAAAGAGCATGGAGCTGCACAAGGTGCCAGGCCCTGAGAATGTGTCCCACTGAACCCGACACTGACCTGGGAAGGGGCCTCTCACTGTCCTGGAGAGCAGGAGCTGTGGCCAGAAGGTGCCTGTCCCTCCTGCTGTTCAGCTGGAGTTTATAAGATCTGGCTGCCATCTGGTGACACTGGGGGGAAGAGCAGGATTGCTTGGAAGTTGCTGCTCACTCTTCAAGTGAAACTGTAGTTTCTCTTCCTCCCTTCCTGCCATCCCTCTGCATTTGGATTATATCAGCCCCCTCTCATGCTTTAAGGCATGACCTGCCCTTGCCAAAGTCTACTGCAGCATTTTCCCAAAACTGTTTCTTTTCTCTTTCCCATACAGAGTACAAGCCAAGCTACGTCCGGAATCGCTCCATCCGCTCTGTGTCTGTCGAGCTGCATGGAGAGGTTTACAACTTCGGGCTCGAGGATGGATTCCAGCCCGTGGTGCCGAGGAACGTCACCAGGAGGCACAAGGTGCAGAGGGCTGCTGCGCGTGAAGAGGAGGAGAGAGATGTGGGGGAATACAGCGGCACTGGCGGCATTGCCGAGTACGCAGCTCCCAACCTAATAAAAGTGACGCACAGGTGAGTACACGAGGTCAGTGCCTGTGATGTCTGTCTTTAAGACATTAATTATTATATATAAATAAAAGAATGGTGAAAAACACTCAGCTTGCATTTAAGCAAGTACTTRGGCAAGACTCAGAATTAACTACATGGTATTTCCTGCCCCTTAATAAACTTCTAAGGTTATCACATAAGCCAGTATTTTGGAGRAATCTTGAATCTTAACAGCCCAGGTTGCACTAGAAGTTAGTAAAACACAGAGATTTAATATTGTCAAAGGGCATTTAGCCTTATAAGTCAGGGAGACATTATTCCTTTTATAGAAAATTGCAAGTTTTCTTTATTTTTCTTTGTGATGTTCTAATTCATCTTATAAAGAAGCATTTTCTTCTTGCTGCTACCTCCGTATCACTTAATTGCCCATAGGGAAATAGCTTCTGAGCACTGCTCTCAGTGGCTGCTAGTTAGTAGAGCTTGTTTATGTAGGGAGCTTAATGAATAAACAGGAACTCTGTGCAGAACAACTTACATACAGAAATGAAACAGTCAACAGGGTCTACTTCACTGGGATAAGGAGAGTCTCCCCTTAATTTTTCTTCTGGAAAAATTTCCATGGCTACTCAAAACAACAGCCTTTCCTGGCTCGTAGGGTGCTCTCCTAAATCTCTGGAAAAGAAGCCTTTTCTGAGTTCTGCATGTCATTTCCAAGCTCATGTGTCCTCAGACTGTATTGTTCAAACCAGCTGTTTGCATTGGTGGGATTTGCTTTATGTATAGTAATAAATCCTTTTTTTTTTTTTTTTTTTTCTGTTGCCAGGTGCTATATCCTGGAGAATGATACTGTTCAGTGTGACACAGATCTGTACAGGTCACTGCAAGCTTGGAAGGACCATAAACTTCATATTGACCATGAGGTCAGTGATGTTATCAGGCGTGTATTTGCAATGTGTGCTTTTAGCATGGGKTTCTGTGGTCTGATAGGATCATGCTGACAGTTTCTATGGGAGTCTGTCTGCCTGGAGGGACTCTGTGAGCCTCACTGCCTGGTGTCGGAGTAGAGATTTCATAAAGACAGGATCCCCTCTTGTTTTCTTAGCAAATCACATGAATTCACAGCACAGTTGGATGTGAGAACCTGCTGGCCCTTACAGTACAGATTGGCACATAACAAGGCAGGTATTAGAAAAAAATGTATTAGCTCTGCTAGCGTTTCAGAAGGGGCAAATCAAACATCCTCAATGTCACTGTGCTGCTCTRTCTCTTTCACACTTCAGGAGACGTAGGCTACATGGAGCACCAAAGAGCRTGAGCACGCACGTCTGTCCTTAGGGGCTCCTGATTCAGGGTCAGAGGCTTGCGGGCTTTGTATTTTTCTTGATGTCTTCTSTGTTTGTCACTCAGGTGTGTCTATTAGTTTTACAGTTGCTGATGTCTTACAGTAGCAGTAACTTCTTTGCTCAGACTGGGTGACTTTGTTTTTTCAGCTGGATAAAGAGCCAAGGTGGAAGCCTGGATACACCTGCGTGTAGGTGGGCTGGGCTGAACCAGGTGTTTCATTGACTCACGAGCCAGGGGCTAGAAATAAACAGTGGGTGGCAGAGTTAAATGAATGGCTAATCCAGCTCCTACATGGCCAGATATTGCCAGAAACCATCATGTAAAATGATGGAAAGGTGCCGGTTCCGAAGAGGGACTTGAGAACACTGCTCCACTCACTCTCAGATCTGTAACAGGCTGAACTTTAGGGGCTTTGGTTTCTTTAGGGTAGCCTTTCTACCWTTGCAAATACCCTGAATTGTTCAAAATGGAAAATCTGTGGAACTGAAAATGCTTGCTCGTGGTAGGAGGTGTGGAAGGTGGTGAAAAGAAGCATTTGATAGCATAGAAGGGGCTGGAGAGAGTTAGAACATGGTTAAATTGTGCTCTACTCTGATTTTTTTTTTTTAAATGACTATCTTTACTTTTATTCAGATTGAGACTTTGCAAAATAAAATTAAAAACCTGAGGGAGGTGAGAGGGCATCTGAAGAAGAAGCGACCTGAAGAATGTGATTGCAACAAGCTAAGGTATTTCTTGAATGCTCCCGAGGAGCTGTAATGTGCAGCGGTAGGCAGGTTGTGTCTCCCCAGGTCGCAGGCGGGGGCCGGGTCACTGCTGCCCACGCTCTCTGCYGGGTGGCTCAACTAAAGTCAAGTTCTTTAATAATCTTATTTTGTTAATTTGCTTTAAGGATTGCCTTTCTTTACAGCTCTTAATTATTTAAAATAWATTTATTTATTTGTTTTGAGGAGCTGACATTAGCTGATTTCTGGTGTGCTCTTTAGAAGATGATATATATTGAACTTAATTTGATTCTGCTTGTTTCTGTGGCTAGTACGAGGGCTGTGGGTTGTAGTTTGGTCTCAGAGCAGCAGATGATGCTGCACACACGAGCTGAGGAGGCATCGAGGCTCGGACGGAGCCGTGAATGAGCAAATGGATGGAATGAGTGCATGAAACCAGAGCCAAATGCAGTGCGGTAATGCAGGATGAACAACTGTCCCTCTCTTGTTGATTTAACATTTTGTTTGTTTGTTTTTACAGTTACCATTCAAAACATAAAAGCAAACTGAGACATAGAGGATCACATCTTCATCCTTTCAAGTAAGTCATGCTCCCTTGAAAGAGGAAATGCAAAGATGTAAATATTTGGTCCAGGAATACAAGCTACAATCTAAGCATCTCTAGAGCTACTTGAAATAMAGGACATTAATTTAAAAATTCCAAGTACTTTTTTTTTCCCCTAAAATCAGCTTATTAGCAGCTTATTTTTTTTTTTAGGTATGCACAAGTGTAACAGTACCAGCATGACCCTAATGTTTCATATGTGCAGGAAAGCCCTCCAGGAGAAAGACAGGCTGTGGCTGCTTAGAGAACAGAGGCGAAAGAAGAAGCTGCGCAAGCTGCTGAAGAGAATAAAGAAYAACGACACGTGCAGCATGCCCGGCCTGACCTGCTTCACCCACGACAACCAGCACTGGCAAACGGCCCCGCTCTGGACACGTAAGGCTGCTCCAAACTAAGTAATAGGTGGCTGCACAGTCCTGTGATTTTGCCCTATAAAAGGGAGAACAAAACAGGCTGCAACTCAAAGTGTGCAGATAATAGCAGTTTTAACTGTAGTACAGCAAATGCTCTTCTCTACCCCCATCCTATATTGGTTCTTAGTGGTATTATCTGACTTAGAGTTGCACTTTTCCCAAGTGGAGGGGGCGGGGGGGAGGCAAAAAGCAGCTAGGCCAGCTGGTATCTAGCAAGTTATCTGTGCAGTAAGTACAGGTAGCCAAGAACCTAGCGCCAGAAGGCAATCTCTGCTCAGGAAGAAGACAGTAACTGTGAATAATATGATGTACTACTTGCCAGTGTCTACCAGCAGCAACATGTATCTTATGTCTTCGTGACATCTAAACTTTAATTTGCAGTGGGCCCTTTCTGTGCCTGTACCAGTGCCAACAATAACACATACTGGTGTCTGAGGACAATCAACGAGACGCACAACTTCCTCTTCTGTGAATTTGCTACTGGGTTTTTGGAGTATTTTGATCTCAATACTGATCCATACCAGGTATTTGATCATGAAACAGCTCAGGAAATAGCAAAGCAGAACACTCAGCCATCTTTCTGCAATAAGAAYTGCTATATTTTGAACTGCTAACCCAGAAATTTTCCATGTTACAGAACTTTTGTGTTCTTCAGTCACAGGGGACAGTTAGTGGCCATCGCTGACAATTCAGTTCCTATAGCAATTTCCCAAACCTTTGCCACAGACRTATAAAGCTAGTATTGTACACCCCCCACACACACCTTGCTCTGAAAACAGCTTTTCTGTGTTGCCTGTTTCTGGTTTTGGAGAATTATACAATCTTGAKGGTTCTGGCTGCCCAATGAGATGAAGCTCAAGATGACAACATRCTAATTTGTTAGTAGCCTAGCACATCAGCCTGGTTTCTTGGTGTTATAGTGAACCATCATGATATTGGTGCAAGCCATTTAATGTAAATTCTGGTGGCTTTTTCTGTTGGGAAAAACACATGTATTCTACATATGCACGTTACATGAACCATATAACAATGTATGTTCTCTAACAAGAACTGCTCTTTATTGCCAGCTAATTAACGCAGTAAATACGCTAGATCGAGATGTTCTTAATCAACTGCACGTCCAGCTCATGGAACTGAGAAGCTGCAAAGGCTACAAACAGTGCAACCCGAGAACGAGGAACATGGAGCTGGGTAAGTGCCTTTCCCATTACACTCTCTTGCTTGCCAAGAAGAAAGTTGTAGCAGTTCTTTATCAGTGTCCTGCTGAGGCTGATGGCTGTGTTCAGGGTTTTAGTTTTGTTCCATTGTGTGTTAAACATCAGTTTCTGGAAACATTACCTAAGCATCAGCCTGAAGCAGAATACCATAGTGTGGTGGGCAGGAGGATATTAGACAGGAACAAAACTTGTTAAAGGATGAAAATACAGTAACACAGAATACAATTCATAGAATCATGGCATAATTCAAGCTCACGGGGTGGGGGCTCATCCCAAATTGCAACCTATTTTACCTAACTAAGGCTTTAAGTACAAAACCACATGTTACTAGAACTGTTACGCCAACATTTATCATGGCAATGCAAGTTATGTTTATATTTTGAAGTAAATCTAACTTTGGAAAAATTGTACCTTACCTGATACCATCTTCTGCAGGCAGTGCTTGGTAACACTGGTAATTTTTTTTCTTAGGACTTAAAGATGGAAGCTACGAGCAATACAGGTACTRACTTTTTTAAAGAAGTTACTCTCAAATACCACTTTCATGCTAAAAAGTTAGAAATGTGGGATTGGGAAACCAGGCAGACAGGAACTGCATTTGCAAGATCTTTGCATCCTGATTACTTCAGCATGTTGTAGGTATTTCTGTTCCTAGTTCATTGTTACAGCATGCTCTAGTCTTTTTAGTCAAAATTTAGACTAAACTCTTCTTTTTTTAACGTATTCCAGACTGTAGAGCTATGGGTTTTCTTGGTGATGGTTAACTTTTTCTCCTTTTGCTGCTTGAAAATTAGGCAGTTTCAGCGTCGAAAATGGCCGGATGTGAAGAGACCATCATCTTCCAAGTCACTGTGAGTTGGAGGCAGTTTATGAAAAGCATTAGTTTTTACTTAGATCAGTGTTTATTTTGAGTGATTCTATCTTTATACTAAAACCCATATTTGCTTATGGTTTACTGCCCTTAAAAACTTGGACATTCTTCAAGTGTAGTACTCATCAGTTCTGAACTTGCCAGAATCCAAAGGTGAGATTTAAAAAAAATGTAAAGACACCATGACAATTAAAACAGTTTGTGGGCTGCCTTTGATTGCCAATTACCCTGTTTTGTAATCTTCTCTTTTAAAAAGAGGCTTTCTCAAATTCTGCTGTGAAAAAATATGCAGAAGTACCTTCATAGGTATGGCCTGGCATTCTCAGCTCCTGCAAAAGGAATTGCTAATTTAGTTGTATTTATTTCTAGTTGAAATGATACCTTTAACTCAAATGGAGTTAGTTACAGGTTAAATTTTCAAACAGAGTTGTTTCTATGATACATATACTATATTTGTGAAATATTATGGACCAGCTGTAGTGTTTGATTTTTCATGCATGGAGCTATTAGAAGTTATACAGCTACTTCCTACTAGCATGTTATACACTAAATCATCTTTGTTTTATTTTAAAGAGGACAACTGTGGGAAGGATGGGAGGGCTAATCTCCCCCAACTGCTGGAGAGAGGATATCGGTGAGGATATGACCTGGCCAGAACTTGAATCCATGTACAGACTAAACGAAACCCTGTATGAATTCAGAAAGAAGTACAATGCCAGCCTGGAGGACTGGATGAACTTTTGAAACTCAAATAGATAGAACGTTTGCACTGTTCAGTGAATTAAATAGATGCCGTGAAATTTTGGGAACTGCTGTCAGGAATACAAGTCTCTGAAATCCACTATTATACCTGCTTTTTGCTTTGGATTATACCTCACCTGCTTCACGAGGCATTTACAAGAAGTCACCACTAACACTACTCCAGGAGCTGACAGAAGAGGAAATGCAGCTGCATCCCAAAGAGGACTGTCATCCCGGTGGGCAGCACCCACACCAAGACATGGCCGTGGGAGGAAACTTGAAGGGCTTTTTGGCTCTGCTCCCTCTTCAAATGCTGTAAGATGAGAAAAACTGCAAAGCCAAGTGCAAGGGCAAAGCAAGATTCCGAACCCCTGGACACTTCTGCCCCAACTGGAGTGTAGGTAATGGTGGAAAGGAACTCTTAAGAGAGCAGCATTGAATAGTTTCAACATCATTATATTTCTCCCCTTTCCTCTGAGGATGTTTTAGTTCAATGTCTATTTGTCCGTCCTTTTGACACCTCTAGGAACTCTAGAGAAAGTCTTGACTAACAGGAACCCAGATTTTGGGGAGGGAGGGTTATGTACATACTGATCAATATACTGTTTGAAAATAAACTCTTTCAGGTTGTGAAGAATTTTGTTAATAAAAAGTGTGGAATGTCCACATATTATTTCTCAAAATGTTACTTCATGTCACATAGAACATCTCAGATTTTTTTTTTTTTAATTACATAAAAGTTTCAGTAACTGTATGTCAAATTTTAATCAGATTTGTATTAAGTCTTTTAATGTGGTGGTATTATATTGTATGTTCAAAACCAAAACAATTCTTTTGAGAAAACAACATTTGCTTAGTACTTTAACTTATATGTTTACTTTTAAAAGACACAGCTCCAACTAGTTCAATACTCTTGTGGCCAATTAAATATAATAGTATAGTTTGAATAACAGTTATTAAGTTTTAGGTAAAAACCATTCTACACAATCAGCACAGCATACGGAGTCTACTTGAGTGCTTTCCATAAAGAAAAGGTTATTAAACACACTGTAGTACAGGCACTAACASTGAGATCTTTGTATTTATAATTTTTTCCATGTTATTAGGTCACCTGTTTGAGGTCCATGCAAGAGGGAGCTCATATGACACTATGTCAAGTTACTGTTTCTCCTTTCAGTAGCCTGCAGCCTTAGATATGATCTTCTCTGTTGTGGCTTGGGAGATGTACCTACATTTTCTGAAGTGAGTATTTAAAACAGAAGACTTAAGCAACCTTTAAGAGCCTTTACTCTTAACACCAAGATACATTTTTTTTTTGAAAATATGAACTTAACTTGAACTTTTAAAAACAGTATAAAGGTGCATCAATGAAATGATTTTCATATTTTCCATTCTGCCTTTGCACATTAGAAATTCAAGCTGGATTACTTAACTGGCGATAGAGATCTCTGACAACACATATCCATACATGAACGCTATGGCTGAATGGAAAAAAAAAAAAAAAAAAGAAAAGAAAAATCCCTCAAAAAGTGGCAATTGGGTTCTTCTGTTCTGTGTTACAGTAAAACTAGGTTTGAGCTTGTATTTGAACCACACACAAATGTTTTAAATATACTTTCCAAAACTTTCCTGACAGTTATTTTTTTTAATCACAGAAATAATATCTGACTGTTTCCTAATCTAACCATAGCTTCTGCTTATAACCTGTTACAGATTTAGTGGATCATCAGCAAATAAACATCTGCTAGATGATGACAGCCTGGATCAAAGTGAAAAAATGTAGAAAACATATTTGTAGAAACACATTTTTACTGCTTTACAGAGAAAATTATTAGCTGTCTACCACTACTTATCAGCATGCAGAAAGAATATAATTTTTTTTTAAAAAAACTTACCTTTCCTTGTGTTCAGTCTAATAATTTTGCCAAGGGGAGCTGTGAATATCTGAAGCCTGCAAGGCCATCATTACTGCTCCTGTTGCATGATGACAAGTTCCTGGGCTCCTTTGTATGCAGGCAAAACCCCGAGCTGCTCGGCTATTATGTTATACAAGGAGAAACTGATTTTATGAAAGGTAGGTTGGTGTTATCAAGTTAAGAGGGGAAAGCAACCACTCTTTGCTCTCCCACTCTGTATAAGCATGCTGTTTGAGGTTGGAAAAAAAGCCTATTTGTTGTACACACAATTTTAGTTGTTAAATAACTCACAGGCAGAAGGTCCAAGTTGTTGTTAACACTTCTAGCTTTTCCAGTCTGTTATAACTACAGCACTTTTTGTAACACAGAATTTTCTCTGAACTTTCCAGATACAATTATCAGCCTTAAAATACCAGACAGCTATTATACTATGCCAACCAAGATCCGATTTTAAATAGAAACCTTTATTTACATTATTATTAACATTCAAACACAAAAATCAGAAGAGCAGTAATACCTTACAACCAGCTCTTAGAAAATCAGTCCCATGGTTTTCTGTTTTGTAAAATAAAGATACAGGTATTCCAAGCAAAATTTAATGTAAACTATGCTTAAATGCAGTTCTCAATACTGTATGCCTTCTCCTGAGATATTTTTTTAAAATATTGCTCTCAGAATTACATGATTTCATACTTGCTGTAGCATCTATCACCTGGTAGCCTGCACATAAGACTCTAAAATAAAATGTGTGCTAATTGGTAAAACAATCAAAAAGTTTTAACTTACAATTGAAAAAAACATTCCTGGTGTCCTAACTTTAAAAGCCTAATTTTAGAACAAATGTGRATAAAAATACTACATGTGAATTTTATAAAAACATTTGCTGCCATCAAAAGAATAACAAAGACATGTAGCAAAACTCTGTTCTGTATGCAACAGTGATCAGAGGTGGTTGTAGTAGCCAACTGGTCCCTGCTGAGAAATTCTGAAGCTTTTTTTTTCTCCTTTTTTAAAAAAAAGAAACACTCAGCTGTTGCTGTAGAATCAAAACTGAGTTTGTGGATACTAAATGCCAACAGATTTCAAATAAAGTTTTATTTACTGCAATAGATAAACGTTTTAAACTAGATGTAATCAGAATCAGTGTTGCCAAGGAAGAATTCATCAATGCACTTTGAATCAAGTTTAAACTAAAATTCTTTGGATTCAGCAAAAAAGTAGGTATTGGAAAGCTCAAACATTCTAACCCGAGATGAGCACGTGCCGCGCCAGGAGGACAGCAGCCAGCTGTGCACAGATGTGTGAACAGAGTCACTCCTTGACCAACAGCTAAAAGGGGGCTGCGGATAAGGTAGTATAGCGTCAAAGAGGAAAGCACCTATGGGAARCCAGCAGGGTTTGCAGCCTCCATCAATACAATGAACAGCTACAAACTATACTGATTGATTTAATGTACAAAACAAGGCATTGCTGCCTGCAGCTTACTCAAGTAGGCAGCACTTATACTCAACCAAGAGGGGTGTTCTAAGACATAAGGAAGGAGATTAAAGYTCCTTAGACTTCTAAAAGCTCTGCATTAAAAAGTACGTTGGAGTAGGACTGAAAGTTTCAGATAAATACTATCACCTAACCTCTATACTCAGTACTAAGTGTAAAGATGGGGTTGCATAAGGTAGATAGACTGAACCTATATTCCCTTTGGAACACAGCTGGCTGGATGTTTTCCAGTGAAAGTCATTTCTATTAAAATGGAAGCTCAGTGAATATGCTGAAAAATAAACCCACCTCATGCTTACAGTACAGAAAAAGCAATAAAGAGCAGAGGCTTTTCTTTCTTTACTCACTTGGGAGAAGTTAGTTTTTCATTACCCAGTGAAAAAGCGAATTAGAGCATCACCCATCATCACCATTTCTGGGCACCCCTTACAGAAGTACAGCTTGCTGCAACTGCCTGAAACTGGAAAAACTGCCATAGGATCGTCATTTGGGGAACCAAAACAGAGAACTAACACATCCATCAGCAAGCCGTATGACTAATTTTGTAACCAAACTTAAACAGTGATATGAGAGAAACCTGCTTAGAAAAATACATTCATTATGATGAGAACAATTCAAGGAGGTGCCGACATTTGGTTGTGTGTGACGTGATAACCCTACATGATGTCTGCATGTCCTGCAAAAACAAATACTTTGCAATAGACAGACCTCTTCTGAAGAACATTTATAGTTCATTAACATTAACCAAAAAAAGACATAATCCAGATACATCAACTGAAAAGGGAACACATATATATATATGCTATGACTGTCCTGACAAGTCACAACATTTTTACAATGCAGAGTCTTTTTGTAAAATTGCCTTATGTAAAAAGAAATGTAACAAAGTGCTCACAGATGGAGAAAGCATTTAGCAATCGGTCTTTTATAAAAAGCTATACGTTAAAGATGTAAAAATAAATGATGTGTCAAAGACCAAAAATGAGGGGGAGAGAGATATGGGGCAAAGTCACCCAACTTCAAAGACATTAAATTTAATTAAAAAAAAAAATCTATTGGACCTCAACTACACTTAGTTTACAGAAACCAACTTTGTTAAATATTTAGCTTCACAAACTCTGCAAAAATGAGTTAGTGATCTACAAAAGTCATAATATATAATACAGTATCTTAAAGATCATATATACAAAATTTATTCACAAAAAAGACTGCAAAATTCTGATTCAGACAGCAGTGCCTGGCCTTGAGTTTTCTGAAGTTTATTTTTAAAAAGATTAAAGATTATTGCTCTAACTTCCAAACACAGAAAACATTACATTATGCAGTCTTCCAAATAACTCTGAAGAGATTGTGTTCAAGAAGGAACATGAGTACACGCTACTTCATACTAAGTCCTTATCAAAGATATTGCATTAATCCATTATATAGTCTTCTATAAAGTGCACTCAGCTGCACATCAATATGTAAATATTAGTCACAATTGTTTTTAAATAATTTAAATTTATTTTCCTCTCTTTTTTACCCCGTGACATCATTAGACAGGATTCTGGAATAGTACGTGCCAATTCATTTTGCACCGCTACTTTGCTGGGGAAATCCTGACTCTTGGGGATAAGAGATTAAAAGCAGCATTTATATTCAGGAATTCATATAAAAGAGTCAAGGCTAGGAACTACATTCTCTGTCAGATATTCTTACTAGAGAAATCAGAAAATTCTTACCACCATGACTTCTCCAGGCACTTGTCTGCCTGTAGTTCAAGGGCTTTGGATAGCTACAGTAAATAGACATGGCCTACCAGGAATGCACCCATCATATTTACTAAAATGCTATTGCCAAATTCACATTTCTAGAGACAGAGCGCCAAAAATATTTAAGATCTTTTTTGTACAACATAATATACAGTAATACAGAGACTGCTTCTATGAATTCTTTTTTTTTTTTTGATTTTTTTTTTTCCCTTCTGAATGAAGTAACTTAGGACATATGGTGACTAGCTGGAAAAAAAAAMCACTTATTTCCATAAGGCCAGTACTAGTTGCCAAGGAGAATGCGCAGCTTTCCTTTGTAACACTAGTGCATCATTAATAGAGCGCATTCTTGTCTGGAGATCATGGGCTTAGGTGTCAGCAGTATTTCTGTTAAAGAAAAGAAGAAAGCACCATCAGGGAAAATAAAAGTCTTTGCTGAAAAGCTGTCCAGTGTTGCTTTTTGCAGAGGAAATTGCTGTCAAGTTCCTAGCAGGAAAAACAGCCATCTAGTGCTCCTTCTTCAAGATGGATTTGGAGAAAAGAAATACTACCCCAGAGCTGCTTAAAGAGGATACTTGGTTATCTTCACACTAAGAAACGTGCTTTTGGAAAACSTGACATTTCACCTTCCTTTATTTCCCTTTACAAGACCTGTATAATGCTTGCTTTCTTTGCATCTTCCATGACCTTGCTTGGCTTGTCCCACAAAGCCCCAAATTTAGTTTATCTGGGTATTATTTTGTTCTTCCTTTGGTATTTTGTGGAAAGAACAACAAAAATATGTTAAGAATTTTAGCTCTCTTTACAGTGGCTGTTATTAAATCACTTCCTCTTACATAGCAGGCCTAAACCTGCCGTAGTTTCTAGCTATGCCTCCACTAACACAGTAATTGAAAACAGGATTGTGCCAGAAGAACAGTCTGAAGCAAATTGTACAAAATGACAAGAATCAACAGGTCTTTTCATACAGACCATGAAGGATAATAGAGCTGTTGAACTTTTAAGATTTTGTAAATGACAGAATTAATCATTATAGACAACTTACCTGGTCTGGACCCATAGGCATCCCCGACATGGGCATGGTATTCATGTTCATCTGTGCCATATGGCCACTGCTGCCATTCATGTGCATCATACTGTAGGCTGCAGGATTGCCTTGATGGCTAAACTGCTGCTGCGGAAAGGAACTGAAGCACAAAAGGACAGATAAAATTACCTCCAAGAAGTCTACTCAGTGATCAACTGCCTTCCCGGCACCCGCGGTGACAGACGTGAAAGAAAAATTACTTAAATCACCAGAAGCATAAAACTATTTCTTTCCATATAGTATCTGTTCAATGTAAAAAAGCAGTTACGCTCCAAAAAGGAATTTTGAATGCTCACACCCATTGTAACCCTTTGGAGGCTTCGATGAATACTGTACTGCACATTGTAATAATAATTTTTTCCCTCTTTGAAATACTTTTCTTCCTAGCTTGGCTTTTTCTTCCAGGCAAAATGAAAGAAAAAATTTCAGACACAGGTTATGTCAGATATATTTTCAGATATAGGTTTACCTGCTCCGGGTCATGCTTCCCGATGGCCAGCCTTTCATCTCGGGAGACTGATACATTGCTGCTGTCTGAGGATGCTGCATCATAGGATTTTGGGAGGCTCCAATTCTTGATGACATCATTGGGTTGGGAGGACTTGACACCCTACTAAAGGCAGGATCAGGTTGTTGGCTTAGTCCTTAAAGTCAAAGACAAGACAGCAGTATGCTTCAGTTAGCATCACCAAGCATTTCATTTATCTTCRAAAGAAAGGAGGTGGGAAAGGTCATCTTTTCTGTATGTGTATTTTCCATGCTCACAATTATCAATATTTAGGTAGTTTGGGATTGATAACAAACTAAGAAAGAGAAAAGACGACAAGGGAGGGAAAAAAGCAACGTGTTAACTCTAGTACCATAATTGGGTGGATAGGGGAATTGCTGTGGAGGAACKTGAGCCATTGGAGGGCCCGTCAAAGCACCATCCATGCTTCCTGAGGCGGTCACGTTTGGTGGTGGACTGAAAGCCTGAGGTTGCTGTTGCTGCTGCATCATCATTGCCATCCTCTGTTGTCTAAAATGATGACTTATCAGCTCCCTGTTACGCTGAGCCACCATCTGAGCATTAAGAAAACCTTGCTGCTATCGCCCAAAGAAAARAGAAAACCATATTAGAAAATACGTTTAGAAATCAAGTCATGTCAAAATCAGGCAAATCTCAAATATTCTTTCTAACTCTTAGACCCACACAATTATTTCCAGAACTATTTCCAGTAAAGAAAAGCCACAGGCAGTACAAGAACCACTAGATGATCAGACAAGGGTTTTCATCAAGTTGCCATCAGTGTTAATGATGTGTGGATGATTCAGCAGACTGTCTAACACACCCTACATGGAAAAGACCATAAGCACAACAGCAAGACCTGACAGAGAGATTCCCTGGAAATCTCATGAATGGGAGAAGTTTAAAATTTGGGAGGGGGAGGCGAGGGGTAGGGAGTGTTGTTTGTTTTACGAGGGGAAAACACGAATATGCACTGTGGAAACTTTAAAGAAGGCCTAAATTCTAAGCAAACTTGCAAAAGATGCCTCTATTTACAAGTTACTGTTTCAGACAGGTTATTACCCTAATTACTTACCTGTGATCCCACCTGCTGCTGCATAACTGGTCTCATCACYGAGGTATTGCCACTGCCTGGATTTTCCATTTTCATTTCAAGTGTTTGACGGGTCTGGTTCATAAACTTAGAAAGACATTTTAGCATTGAAAATATCAGTATCTGAATAAAGTAAAGGCAAGTCCACAAAWACATTCTTTATAAATCTCTCAAATCTATTAAGTACAATGACTCATTTTCCTGTTTTGATGTACCTAAAGTACTCAACTGTTTGTTAGCAAGCTCAAACTCATTCAAAAAACAAAACAAACTCTAAATATTCTAGTTCTAACTTTTGTTTTCCTTTTTATTTTTCTCTCTCTAAACTTCTTAAGACTAAACATAGAGCAGATCAACTCTCATTCCAAATGATATTTGGGGCAGATGGAAAAGCCACCAACAACAGCTTTGTTTAAAATAATAAACTCCTGTTTCCTTCCCTCTGTCGTAACATTCCCAAACTACAGGCTGAATTAGTGACACTGAACAGCCAAGACAGAATGCACTATTTCCYAAGCATTAAACATTAAAGTATTAAGCATCAGCATTCCTTGTTACCCATCATCATCATATAATACTAAGCTTCACCTATGAATTTTCTATTATCACAGTCTTAGGCATGTCCTAGAGTTTTTCAGAATGGCCACAGTACTTCTTTTCATTAGCCACAATTTTCCAYATTAAAATTGTATTCTGGATTCTCCATTGATACCATGACTCTTTCCTACTCAAAGGGAAATGAATGTTGAAATCATCCAGCAATAGATAATTCTCTAATGCACTGTTATCAAGACAGCRTTAAAATCTTTATGGCTTTATACACTGTCTCCTTCCATCCAAAGCAARTAGCTAAGATGAGATCAAATTAATACAGTGAAAGCAAAGCAGTATTTTAATATACACAAATGGTTATTTAGGGAAGAAAAAAATAAAACAATCAATTTGCAGGAGAAACACAACTGCACATTTAGTGGTCCCACTCAAGAGATTCAGAAAAAGGACAAAATCGTAACAGAGATAATGAGACCTTCCAGAGCTATGTAGTACAGGATTACTTTTAAAATATCAGCAATGCCTTGTCCTGCAGGAACTACTGCACTTGTAACTAAGGAGGCTGATAAAAGATCAACACTCGTCCTAATAAAGGTTCTTACATGTCTACAGTAATAGACGGTCAATGTGAAAAGCACTATCAAAAGGAATGGTTCGTCCATCCACTCATCGACTGTGATGTCTATTCCTGTGTTCTTCAACCAATAAAATTCACTGTGCATCTCTCTCTCTTCTAAAACTAGGCAAAAATTAGTGCAAGATCAGGACTAAAACATTACCTGCTGCCCCTGAAGCCTCTGCTGGAGCTGCATGCGGAGCTGCTTTGGTGTGTTGGTCCGAGGTCTCATCACATTTGCTCTAGGATGCATGCTCTGCAGTGGAAAATTGCTCTGTTGGCTCATCTGATTCATCACTGAATTAAAGGATGGCTGTTGTCCCTGAATGTTACTAAAGCCTCCTGGCATTGCTGCCCCTTGCCCCTGATAGGGCTGTGCATACAGCGAAGACTTCTGGTCAATCATAACTGCAGATTCCTGACCTTGGAATGAATCTTGCTTCTGTTCCAGCGCTTGGCCCTTCAACATAAAGAACATACCGCTAGTGAAGACACAGAGTTTCACTGTTGTGCAACAATAAAACTAMCACACCACATTACAGCCAGGAGTTTCTCAAGCAGAAAATGGTACAGGTAGCTGTTTATCTGTTCAATCTCCAGAAAAAAAAAAAAAAAAAAAAAAAAAAAAGAAGAAATGGCAGAAGTGATGATAAAACATAGTTAAGTCAGTCTTGTTACATACTGCTTACATAAACAGACTGGTATCATTAAGTTGTTCACCACTTTTAAACTGTAGATTGTGCAAATGACAGTGCTGTGTGGAGTTTTCAAGAAAACTCTGAATTATTGAATGGAATTTCTTTCTCCTACTTGCTAGCAAAGCAAATTTGAGCTGGAACTGGGGGAGACGGTAGCGTCATCCTCACWAGCACATTACTGTAAGTAACAGATAAACTAAAGAAAAACAACTCATTCTCTGGTGATAAAACTGCAGTGATTTATGCTCCCCTCCCAAAAATTATACATCAAGGCATTTTCTATAAATATAAGTAAGAAGATGTCATTTTAATGTRTCATAATGCACAAGAAGTTTAATAAGCACTGAATTTCTCTGATGAAAATGACTACTCAAGGCAGGTTCTTCCAAAGACAGGTTTAGGGAAAAGGAAGCAACAAAGTGAGATCCAAGAGCATRAGGAGGCTTCTCTTCAGTTCCTTTCAAGTACCAAGATAATACAGATTGCTGAAAAATAATGTCCAAAATGTCTAATTACTTACTTGGTTTACGAGATCAGGAATTCCTAGTGCTCTGTCAATTTCTTCCAGGCCGGTGACATCCGTGTTGCTCAGCAAAGTGTGCAGCTGATCTAAAAGGGCCCTTTCATCGCTCTGCCCTTCCACATTGGCTCCTGGGCACAAAAGGTCATCCAAAGAGCTCCTAACTAATTGTCTATTAAAAAACAAACAAAAAAAAGTTAAAAACACTCATTATAAACTATAAAGATTGATATATATTATGCAATATATTGACCTAAAAGATTACAACCCAGAAGACCAAACTAAGACTTCAAGACTTCAGGCCCCAATTTAGGTCCTGGAATGTCCACTCAACTATCATGATAAGTAGTTAACTTCAATGCATCTAAATTCTGCTTTTCTYGTTTCCCATTAAACTTCTCCTGGCATCTAAACTTCAGCTTATGTCCACACAAGACATATATAATTGAATGTTTAGCCACGTCCTCCTTCCTCCCAACTTAAGCATGGCTTGATTTTGTTAGCAGTGTTCTTTATGGAGCCCGTTAAAAGACATGCAGTGTCTCACGATGACAGAACAGCAAGAGAAATGGAAAAAGACTGATCCAATCCCTTGCATATACCCCCCCATATATGCTACATTTATTTTTCCACATCTTACACAGGGAATATTCGTATTTAAAATCTTAAAACTACCCTTGTTTCTACCTGTTTTGGGAACCCCGAGACGCTTGCTCCATGGACAGCATGTTATCAGGCCATGATCCAGGCTGGTTAGACGCTCCTGGCTGTCCATAAGGATTCCCACTCATACCAATGTTAATCTCATTCGGCCCTGTGATGTAAAAGGTTTGTTTTAGGAAAAAAAAACAAAACAAACAAAAAAAACCCACCCAAAGGCAGGCACCTTGTTGTTGAGTGTTCACACAAAGCATTATGGATGATCATCCAAACCATCAAACAGTTTTGAAGACCTTTCCATCAGCATGTTTTAAACTTCAATATATACACAAATTCACACTCAACTAACTTCAGAAATATTATATACCACAGATTTTGAACACAACAGTAATCTAAAGTCGTTGCTCTATTATAGAATACAATTGCTATTGCTATTCTTTAAATCACTAAATTAGAAACTTGACAACTGAATAACTTTATACCAACATAAATTGAATTTTCTGGCAAATAAAATCTAGCTACTAGCGAATATGCATCGTCATAGTGATGCTAACCTTGTTCAGCATTTTATATTCTAAAGCAGAGAAAAAAATCAAAGGAAAGAAATTCTTAACGAGTGTAACAATCTCCCTCTAGAGACTAATCTTTGGAAGAGGAGCTAAAGTCCTACCAAAATTGAAGCGATTCTTGTAATCGGTGCTCACTGAGGAACAAACACAGCTGCATTTCCTGGTACAATCTAACATGGAGAACTTACTCATGTGAATCATTTGCTGTTGTAGCATTGGTCTGGTACCAGGGACACTGCTGGAACGAACGGGCAGCCCAGGCACAGATCCACCCATGGCGGCTCTGGGAAGGGCGGCACTGAACTCGGGTCCCGGCCTCAGCATCGAGGCAGAGCTTGTTGTCTCCAATCTGTTAACCTTTGGGTTTGGCAGACCCCAGTCTCCTGAGGGATGCTGATTCAGAGCTACGTTTCTGTTGGGCCCACTGGCTGCAATGAAGAGCAGAGAAGATAATGATTTCTCATATAGAATACAATAGAGAGTTTGGGTTTAGAATTAATGGGGATTTTTTTTGCTTTACCAACRACTGCAAATGACAGAGTAATTAACTGAATTCACATAAAGGCAAGTTATGTTAAGTTTTATACCATCCAAAGAGTGTATTAATCTAAATATACTTAAAAATACTAATGAGAGCCATCTTTATATGTTCTTATTTCTATATATTAAAAGTGTAGGTTAAACTCAGAACTCGCAACAGTCAGAAAGTTAAGCAGAAGCAAAATCCTGGGAATACACACAGATGGCAAATGGCTCTTACACTTTTAGTTTGTAACAGTAATTAAGGTACTGAGGTTCTGATAACACTTCAAGACTTCTTCTGAGAAGAATTCACATTATAATCTTTCTTTTTAATGTCAAAGCATTTGATTTATGAGATCTATTTCTACAAAAACAAACAAACAAACCCAGAGTTGCTCCAAAATTTTCCTGGTTTTCCATCATTCTTGGACTTCCACCCATCAAGTTTTGCTTTTGTAACATGGAGAACGCATTGACATTCCTCACTGGAGGGCTTGAAGCCACAGGGCTGTCTAAAGACATGGCTCTGTTGAAGGGCGGGTGAGCGGTCTGCGCAGCCTGTGGACTTCTCATACCTGTTAAACAATTAAGAGATGCTCACAACTGCACAGTTGAAACATAAAACCAAACAGTGCTATTCATGATTTACATAAATTTGATCTATTTGCAGGCACACATATTGCACTTTTAACAGGCCAGCAATAGCTATTCTGTTCCTGTTCTCACTACCTTAGTTACATTTTGAGTGCATACTCTTCATTGCTATACTAATGATACAATAGCCTATGGCAGCACGATTAACCTTGCTACTTGAAGTTTCCTCTTGAAGGAATGAAATCCTTCAGAATTGGTAGGAAATGTATGAAATCAAATTATTCTCTAAAAATCTCAGCCTGCACTATGTTTGCATCTCATAAGAAAAAAAATTATTTTAAAATCGAAGTGTCATGAAATGAAATTCCTTACTCAATGGGGTGGTTCCTTGAAATAATGCTTGCTTTGTTCCAAGGCTATTTCCATTTGCAGACATAGCATTATTGTAAAAATCTGAGCTAGTCAAATCACCTAAAATTGCATCCAAATTATCCAAGTCTCCACTCATCTGAAAAAGAAATAATAAAATACCAACGTTATTCACTATCATATTGCCAACTGTCAGCTTTCATTTAACTCCTCACTAATCTCACAGGATATAACCAAGAGATAAATTCTTTACTTCACTGGTATTTAGGCTTTTTCCTGATTTCCAAAGAATTTCAGATATTATTTAGCTACCTTTTAATGGAATATTCTGTCTGGCAGATTTTGAGAATGAAGAATTTAAGGAGAAATTTGAGGTACTATTCATAAATTAAAAATCCTCCTTTCATCACAAATGTGTACTGTTTGGTAATAAATAATACTTAAAACTGGTCATTGTAAAACATAGGAAAACATAGGAAAAGTACACACAGTCTTTCCTTGCCAGTAAGTTCACTAGTTTTAAACAAAAACTAGTTGTTTGTTGAAGACAAAAAATTGTCTTCAAATCAGTTGCAGTTTTAACAAAACAAGACTTACATACATAAGTAATGGAACAAATGCACCACTACTGCACCACTGTTAACAACTAATTTTCTGAATGGTATTCAAAAAGTGTTGTGATACATTTAGTTTGTAGTCAGTTGTTAGCTAACAATAATAAATAAATAAATATATATATATATAAAATTATATAAAAAATTCATTCCTACAGAGCTATTAGTGATTTTGGAAATCCCAAATCTAAGCAATTAACATGTTCTCAGTACTCAGCATGCTGCCTGGTTCTACAGACCAGCATTATTTATGCTGAAGCAGCTCCAAATATGATCTATCCTTATATATATATATTATCCACCCTTAGAAATATTTTCTAAGCATTGCAATTTTAAGAACAGCTGTCCCAACAAGTATGCCAGTAGTAATTCATTTCCAAGGTCATATAATATGTAATATCATGACATTGCTTGGAATTTCAACTCTAGAAAACATTTTTTTTCAAACATTTTTCATAATTTTCTTATCACTCCAACTCATAGAACTGGAATCACTAGTTGAGTAATACATTTTTTAAAAAACACAGAGGCCAGACTTGGGACAATGTTTTCCATCATTTAAAAAAACACAGTACTAACACTAATGCATTTATAGCTATTTTAAGTATTATACATACTGCTTTTATATTTTTWATATGAAATTATGCAATSTCTGCCAGTTTCTTTTTTTCCTATTGCACCACCAATTAAATACAGAGGCAGGTAACAGCTCCATTTCCTAATGAGCCATAAAAATAAACATGTATGATGTGAATTGTAAATGTTCAAAGATATGATTTTAAATAATAATATATAAGTGTACTTTAAACATACCATATATCAAAGCTAATATTACTCTGGGATTTCAGTACAGCACATTTGGTTATACATATCCTGTAGCCCTATTGGTTTGTGCTTTGTCATTTATAGCAAGACCTAAGCACGTAATTTCATACAATTTGAAGGTTTTTCTAAAAGGAAAGTASTGGCTTGTTCATTATCATCATTTTACATTATACTCTACCTCTTCTGTTGGCTCTGCTTTTACTTTAACCTCTTTTTCTTGACTAGAGGTAGGAAGAGTAGAACTGCTGCATTGTCCCATTTTATTATCCACGCTTTCTACTTTAGGCTTTAACTCTTTGGAAAGCGGGTCCTTAACATCATCTTTATCTAGTAGGTATCTCAGTAAAGCATTGTTTTCCTTCTTCTTTGGGCTCAGTTGTTCCTGTTTGACAGTGCTTTCTCCACAGGCAGCTGTGTTACCAGCATCATGATATGTGTCTTTGCCAGTAGCTTCAGCTGTGATCTTGGCTACCTCTGCAGGAGAATTACCATTCTGCAATAATTTATGTAAAATCCTGTGCTTCTCTTGCAGGAGTGACCCATGCATGTTTGAGGAGGAAGACACCCCTCCAGACGTTGACGAGGAAACTCCAGAAGGGCTCGTAACATTGGTAGAAGATTCTTTACAGTTAGAGTCTAAAGGTGAGTTTGATGCTGTGGAATGTCCTCTTTCATCTGAAGAGCACGTGAGTAGCTGAAGCAACTTCTTATGCCCTTTGCTTTCAGATGGTCCTCTCTGACTTTCAGATGCCTCTAGRCTTCCCTCTTTACTGTCCTTTTCACTAAGAAGCTCCCTGCTGTTTGACTGGCACACGGTACTTTCCACTTGGTTTTGCTCACAATACAAACCAGATGGGCTTTTTGAGTCCTGGGTGCTCGTTTTACTTTGCTGAGCTATGCTCATGTTTGGAGAATTATCCAGTTTTGGACCAGGTGAAGAAAGTGTAGATAGAAGGGAAGTTCCAACCCCCTCACTAATGGCTTGAAGAGCACTAAGAGAACTGCTAGAGAAAGTGCTGTTACTGGTGTTGCTGGCAGATCCCATTGGAGAGTGCATCCCTGTAGAGAGACCAAAATTTAATTAGATTACTGTCTGTATGCGCTTTTCCTTTTGGGTTATGTGTAACTGCTGCATTGAATTAAATGCTTGTTAACTACTTTAAAATAARTGTTTGCAATGAAATCACATATACTATATTTAAGTAACACATACAAAGTCTTAGAGAAAAAAAGTTGAAAAAATAAGATAGAAGTGAGAAAGAGAACTTAAAAAGGCAATCAGAAAATAAAATACCTGTCACGGGAGAATACTGGTGTGAATTCATTTTTGGACTCCCTCGATTTCTAGGGGATATCATTAGGTTCTGTTGGTTGGAAGTTAAGCCAGGACTCCCRTGTGGTGGACTACTCATATTTAAACCATAATTATTATTTTGGTAAGTGGAGGACTGCATTCCTGGTCCAGAGTTTATTGGCCCCATATTCCCAGGGCCTCCATATCTGGTGCTGCCCAGCTGCCCCACGGCACTGGGGTCTGCCACGCCGTAGCTCCTGCTCTGCATCGGCACAACTTGACCCGGTGACATGGTCATCATGCCACCAACAGCATTCGTGCTCCCGGCCACGGGCGCTCTCATGTTCTGCCCAACTGAACTAGGATTTGGTCGATAGCCGTTCTGTTCTCTGTAAATTCAATAGCATCCCCAAAACCCCAAGAAAATAAATTAAAATCTTTTTTCAGGATCAAGTGCTACAAAAAGAGAGTAACACAATTAAATAACTTTTCRAAAAGAATTGTGAGATTTTGTCTATCTCCACAAAAGCAAAAYTAAGTCATTCATTTATTCATTACAGAACTGTTTTGTCCTTTAGGTCACTGAAGCTATAAGCCCACACCAGATCAGCCCTTTAAAATGCTTTTTTATCACCAGCCACTATTTAGATTTATCGGTTTAAATGTCTTCCTTCTCCTACTCCCTCCTTGAGCCAATGCATGACACTCTTCTACTGTGCACATTAATGATGCCCTCAACAGTCTCAGCTAACCACTGATGAGCATCTGGAGGCACTTTAATGCCAGAAGCAGGCAGGTTCCCTCCAGAGCAGCATTTCAATTATTCTTGTGATCAACAAGAACATGCCACAAGAAACACTATATACAGTACATTTAACTTTGCATCATCCATGATGCAGTACAGAGGAAACATCTCACTTCTAACACTGAGCACACGGTTACGTTGGGAGGGTATAGATTCATGCATTTATTTGCACATTAGACAACTCTCTCTCCCAAGTTTTTCCTCCTCTTTTCTAGTTTTAGCCAAATAAAATATTTTGGTATACTGTTTCATCATATTTTGCCAAAACCACATCTATTTTTAAAAGCCATGACAATTAAATGACAAACAGCTGCTGCTCATTTCACCTTTGAAGAAAGTGGGTAGACACAAATCCATGGCGGTCGTTTGTTACGGGATTTCGAAACAGTTTACTCTTGGTTTGCGCTGTCACGATCGTACCATCCGCCAAAGAGAACCGGTACAAGGGTGTCTCTGCATGACCTTGTGTATAAGCTGTAAAAGAAACACACAAATATTTTTCATATTTGAAAGTCAAAAAAAGGTTAATAAGCACTGTACAGATTTTTACTAAACATTCATTTGCCCAAGAAGAAAACTGAAAGACACACCCAAGACAGATATTCTGGAAGGAATCCCATAGGAAGTATCCCATACATTTTCCCTAAAATAGTAGAGAGAGGAAAAAAAAAAAAAGCAAGCAAGATGAATTTGACGTTGMAGTATTTCGTGCTAACCATGCACATGTGGCAAAGCTCTAAGTTTGCTAATAGACTTGCTTGGCTAGGTAAGTAGGTTTCCATGGATTCTCCTTGGGGAGAACAGCTAATGAACCCTGCCATCTCAACTGCCCTAACATATATAGGTAATTAATATGGCATAGAATGAAATTAGGAGCCTTCAAATGAAGTATTTCTAATTTTAAAAAGTTCTTTTTAATCAAAAAATGTGGAAATAATTGCTTTCAGTCAAAATTTTCAGTGCAAACTCACATAAATCATTTCAACAGGAGGAAATGTTTCATTTTTAAGTCAGTTTTTACGTTTCACTGAAGCATCTCAAAGTCAACACCAAATGATTTTGGAATGCATATCCTAAAACATACTGAGTTCCAAATTTCTCATGCATTTAGGATTAAACTTAATCAGTTAAATCCAACTGAATGGAAATTCCATTAGCCAGTACTAGTTTTATTTAATACTTTGAATTACTTTGAATCCTTGAAGATTGAAGTTAACACACACACAAAAAATTACATCTTTCTTAATGAAAACTTGGCTGTACTTTATTTTACCTATCAGGATGATCAAATTAATTATAATAAAGTTAAGCTAAAGTTGAACAAGGGTAAGAGTTCACTGAAGAAATATAATTTGTCTCTGTCATTGCTATATCCATCTGTGGAAAAATAAATTGCTTTGGACTTCKAGATCATTATTCTGATATTTGCCATGAATATTATCAGAATAGACATGCTACAGAAACAAAATAATTTCTGTATTACTAATTACTGTTCCTAAGCAGGGCATATTTTTTCAGTTTGTAAATAGGAGTCACAGCATTAGCACTAACAAAAGCATGAAAAAGAATGAACAGAGGTAGAGTTTGGCATTTTTGCTTAAAACAAAAATACCCACGGCCTTTGAGACAAGCTATATAACCAAATGCTGCAAACAGATTTTTACCTTCATGATAGTGGCGTTTGTTTGACCATGACTGTCCATCATTATGGCATAAGAATCTCTGAATGCACCGACGAATCGTATCTTCAAAGCCAGGTCTCATGGAAGACCTTAATGAGTTTGTGTCAATGTTGACAAGCTTGCCTGTTATGGGCAACAAAATACTCTATGTAAACTCTTAATGACTACCCCAACACTTCTATACCATATACAAACACAGTGCAACACTTCAGAAGACTATTATCACCATTTTAATCATCCAGCATCCTAATGCCTGATTTTAAGTATAAAAATATAATATTTATAAAGGAYCTGTTATTGAATATGAAGCAGCTTGATAAAAGAGCAATACTCAAGCAGGTTTAGATGGTACACTGCAGAAACACAGTAGGGAATTCTTGGTATCAGGTCCTCCAGTTACTACAGATAGGCRGTAGTCCTTCATTTACAGGCATCAAAAGCACAAGTTCAAAAGAGATTTGAAATCTTAATCTCGGGGACATTTCTCACCTGAAAGGTCATGTCTCGTAATAAAGCTCTCTGGATTTGTTGGAAATACTCTTTCCACAGTTGTGATCCGACGCGCCACACAAATCATACAGGATTGCAAGTCTGTATTAAAAAAAGAATAATTTTGCTTTCAATTCTCTATTTTATACTATGAAAGTGTTTAAATAAAACAGCGTAATAACTTGCAATATTAAAATACAAATAAAAGGGATTTGAAGTTTGTGTATTGTGTTTCTACTCCACTCAAAAAAATGGAGACTCCATTCAGTTTCTATTCAGAAACTACTGATCTCATAACATATATGAAGTAATACAAAGTTTATTTTGAGGTTTCTTCTCTGCACAGGAATTGTACAGGATTTCCTACCTTCCCCCTCCTCCATCATAGCTCTTGGCTGAGATAAAGCAAAGCACTGCATTGTTTCATATCGCTGACGTGTATCCTGGTGGCTGCCAACATCTTCCAAAAGATCATGAGAGGCTTTCACCATCATTCGGCAATTAAACGTATGACTCTTCTGTCTTGGTGTTTCATTGGTCCAAGCAACTCCATTAACTTAAAATAACAGAGYGAAAATTTTTATATAAAGATTTTCAAATAAAATCAATTCAGAAGCATTTCTTTAAAACTAGATGCCCTGTTACTTGTTTACAGAGATTAAAAATCATTTTTTGCAACACACCTTAATTTCCATAGCTTATGAACAGTTGTATTGAGAATCAAATAAAGAATATTCTCTTCTGTGATACGTTCAGCCTTACTTGATGGACTACTGAACAGTTATTCCCATTTCTAAAATGAAAGAAATCACCTCAGCTATCCCTGAAGCCATACAAACCCTGTTCCTTTAGCATCCTTGGTTTAAGTTACAGGCAAACAAATTGCAAAGGTGAAAACAGGAATGTGAATTTACAGTACAATGATTACTAATGGCATGCATTTTTGAAAGAATAGATGAAGGTTTTTTAAAATTAGCTTCTGAAGTCAAGAATTGTTTGTAAAACTTTTTTTTCCYCATGGTTATCCATTACAAGTCGAGTTTTTCTCCTCTCTGCTTGATTTTAAATAGCCTAAGTAAAAGTACAGTAAATAAAAACTTCATTACCTGAAGATTTAGGTAAATTTTTAAGGAAGTCCTTCCGGTCTTCCTCGTGCAATATACCATAGACACTTGTATTAACTAAATCTTCTTGTTTATACTGCAGATACTGTGTGACATTTTCTGAAACAAATACTATGTTCCCATCTCGATTTACAACAAACAGGAATCCATCCAATGCCTAAATATGAACATGACAACATATCGCATAAGACAAAATTCTGAATTTAATCTAGTTTAAAAAGCAAACAAGTAATAAATGTCAAGTGTTAAACACATCCTGTCAAGGAAAAGTTGACCTTTTAAATTTTTCAGTAAGGAAAATTGTTTCTATTACCAAAAGATTTCAGTACCAAAAATCAATCTATTCATTTGTTTTACAACTTAGCTATACCACAGTGACAACCAGCCTTTTTGTTTTTATTCTTGCTTTATCGGAATATGTGCTAATGAATTTAACATTGAACTTGCTTAAAATACTGAAATATAAACACCATGGTATTTTTAAGACCTCTAGTCTTAATAAAACTTCATCAGTTGATTGCAATCATTACAGCATAGGAAAAATATTCCTTGAATTGCTAAGCACTGCAGTGACAATTTCTGTAAGTGAAAAAGGAAAGCACATTACTGGAATAATGCTATTCCTTTCTTCCCTTCTAAAGAATATTCAAGCAAAATTAAGAAGATGTGATTTCTGAATGTTTAAAGCATTATACTGTAAAGTCCTCACACGTTATTTATTCCTATAAGATTAGTGACTTTATTGTAGTAGTTTCACCTTACCTAAATATTTGTTTCAATGGGGATTTACTAGGCCATAATTTGTACTTGCCTGTAATAAAAGAGGTCCCAATGAATCCTTATCAATAACTCCTTGACCCGTAGAAGATACATCAGCTTTCTGAACATCATCATCATTAGAAACTGCTTTTCCTGAAATGCAAAAGATATATTTCAAAAAAAAAAAAAAAAAAAATCCCACAATACAATTGCATTTTAATATCATAAACTAGATACTGGGAAATCTGAGAATAGAAAAAAGAAAATAAAATATTGATGAGACAGGAGTCTCCTATACTTTTGGTTGCTTAAGACCAGAAAAACATGTTACCTAATGGCAAACCCTTTGCTCACATAAACTGGCAGTTAAAGTAGAATCAAAATTACCACCACTCTGTTTTGTGAGCAGTGTTTCTTCTACATCATTTAGGAGCAYCTGGTTGATGAATCTTTCAACAGTCCTTACATGTTCCTTAAGCATATAAGCTTAAGGCACTTTACTTAAACACAAACTGATAAGCAAGGTAATACAGTATTTTCAAGTCCTGATTCTCAATTTAAGTATTTGTTCAATTTTCTCTTAACATAAAAATTATTTAAGCCACATCAGAGATTTGATTCAACTTGAAGTCTGAAGTCTTTCTGAATTATGTGCTACTGTGAAAAGGCACAGTTGAACTGTCCAAGTAATTATTGCTCTGGATAGATACCACAGGAAAAAAAAAAAATTAAGAGGGAAAAACTGTACCTTGTTCTTTTATCTGCCGAATCTGTCTCACGGTTTCTTTTAAAATAGCACATTTGTCTGGTTTGACATTGAAATTGTCAATGTCACTCAGATTAGCAGATATCAGTTCAGCCAGTTCTTCAATGTAYTTGCTTTCCTGCTCGCGCCGACGCTTCTCACCACTGCAGGTCAGACTGGGAAGCMGAAACAGCATTTCAGGTACATATGCTCCAGCACGAACAAAAGCTGCACTCAACACCCTGAGCTTCACTGTCCTTCAGATAGATTATAGATTATAAAGCCTACATGGTAGATACTCTCCTAGTAAACAAACCAAAAGCAGGGTGTGTGGGTGTGTGTGCGTGTGCGCRCGCACGTGTGTGTGTGTAGGGGGGTGTTAATGTGTTGGGTCAGTCCCCTGGAGAGCAGAAACTAACAGAGTTGAGTGAAGGGTAGCAGGACAATATAAAACACGGGGCTTGGAGATCTGCAAGCAGAAAACTAGTCTGGAGACCAGCAAATCAAAAAAAAGGTTCAATCTATTGCAAAATTCTGCACTTGACCCTTAACAGCCTGACCAAGGTTTGTCTAGTGAATTTCCTGAAATAAGATGCTGCCTTTATAATTTGGGAGAAACAACAAACATTATTTCTTTTGTCTTCCTACTGCAGTTTCAAAATATTTCATACTTTCAAAGCTATAACTTATTTTGAATTGTAATTAAAGTCTGAAGCATTAAAAAGAAATACACATAATGTAAAACATGRTAAAGTCTGTAGAACCTACCTTGCACCTGGAGTATCACAGGGCAATGGCTTGCGCTTCCTTGACTCATTGGTCAAGCTATCCAAGGAGTTTTCTCCCAATCCACTCATCTTGATCACACATCAGCAGCTAGAAGCAATAAAATTATGAACAAACCCTTCAATAATAATTCAAAATGCAAAAAAAAAAAAAAAAAAAAAAAGCAAACACTTGCTAAAAAGCAAATTATGATTTTAAGTTTGCTACTGTTACTGAAATGGCTAGTGATGGGCTAATGCAGTGCAGGAAGGTGAGCTGAGCACTGGGAATATGGAAATGTTGAATAAGATTTCCTTCCCTTTATGTTCCCTTGTGGTCTTCATGTAAGCTAAGGACCTAGGGATATATATAACCAAGAGATTATTATTATTTCTAACTCAACAGGTTTCTATTGCGTTAGCTTCATATCACTTGCTAAAGCCTTGGATACAAACAGTTTTTCTAAGATTGCAGAGAAAAGGCAAGCCAAGATTTCAACACTCTTTCAGTTTCACTGCTTCTAAAGCAAAGACCAGGACACAAATCAGTATAAGAATAGGTTTCTTTTGTTAAATTCTAGCTGCATTTAGCCAACATGGTAGATAATATATCCACAATTATCATCTCCCCTTACTTCCATGAGGGAAAAGGAACATAATCAGAACCATGTTACAACCAATGACATGCTGAGGGAAGAAGAAAACCTTTTTAATGAACCATGTTACTCACCTACCAAACCAGGTATTTCAAAYATTCAGATTTGGTTTTTTGTACTATAAAAACAGAGCAGCAAGCAAAAGCACCACACGCAAAACTGCACTGTTATTATAATTATTATAAAAACTGTCCCAGGCTAACCATATTTCTAGGAGTTGATTATCATATAACACAAAGGCTGACAGATATGCTTTCAACTAAAGGAAGTTTATGTTAAGGTATCATATAATCCAGAAGTTCTTTACCTCCAAAATCCCTGCAACTGTAGAATTTTCTACTGGTGTTTTCCTTCTTGCTTTCCACACTGTACCCCTATCCCTACTTACTGTATTACTCACACTCATTCATTTAGAGGAAGACAGAGTTAAGAATCACTCAGGGCAGTCAGACATACACAAGCCCTCAAGAGACAGAATACATCCCTTGGTGCTAAAGGAGGTCTGCATGACATCATGAGACCACCCTCTATCATCTTGGATAAAAATTCTGATTAGATACAAGGTATGTTCTTTTTAAATCATGAGAGTGGCCAGAGAGGTTGCTCAAAGAGGTTATGCAATCTCCATCTTTACAAATTTATATAGCCAAATCATGATCAGACTATAAGGAGATCAAGACTCACCTGAAGACATCCTGAGCAACCTGGCCCTGCTTTGAGCCAGCAGTTAGGCTAAATGTCCTTCTAAGGCCCCTACCAACTTACTGTTCTGTGATTTGCAGCTGAATTTCTTTTGTGCACTTCAGACAATGTAGGAACTAGAATGGAGTATAGCCTAGAAAAGGCACCCTGAGTAAACTAATGCTTCCAGGACAAGATGTCAAAAGAGAAAAGAGTGAAGTGTGAGCACTGTCTCTACTATATTAACCTTGACTGACTTAAAAAAAAAAAAAAAAAAAAAAATTTTTTTTGCTTACTTGCTTTCTGCAGCAAAATGTAACATTGCTCACTTCTTTCCAAGGCTGAGTCAATTGAGGCAAAGGGCAGAGACCAACAAGAACGTATTTGTGTGAAGCAGCACTTGTTATGTTAGCACGGGGGTTGCTTGCAATAGCTGATACTGTTATCATAGGATGTTAGCTATGGGTGGAGAATTCAAAAGGAGATCTTCATGCAGCAGAACAAWCCTGCAAAGGCTTGGCAGGACAGAGAACTGCTGGGCTGCAACGAGCAGCAGTCGCAAGGTCACTCTAGGAGGTGTGCAAAGTTCAGGAGCAAAAGGGCATTGCTTTGAAACACAGACTCTTTGCCACTAAATAAATGTTACAAYGCTTAACATAAAATTATAAATTTAAATAACCCTCAACCTAGTGATAAGCATTATAAAAACATGGCAATATACAGTTTAAATCACAATAAAATTTAAAATAGTAACAAAATACAGTGTTGGATTTGAAATAAGCAATTATAAAAAATATTTAACTGCACAGCTATGGTCAGAGACACCACAGATACTGGTATTATAATACCAAGAAGGTATTACATCTAACCACTTGTTATGAAAACAGTATTGGTAAGACAAAGCCCAATGTACAAAGAGTCTGGACAAAGAGCCTGAAGACTTTTATCCAGCCAGATACCCCTCCAAGGCTAAACTCGCAAGTGCAAGACATTTCAAGTYACTGCACACCTTATTAGAGCTGAAGAAAAATAAACTGTTAAGGGCATAAAAGCCACTAGATGGCTGTATATCACCGAAAGTTCCCAGGAAGATAGTTTGTCGCCAAAGCACTGGAAAGAAAACCTACTCATCTGAACAAATAGGCAGTTTCAAAAACAAATTATATAAAAACAGACCAGGACTATGCAAAAAGCAGTTGATTATCTGCAGCTGACACTTAACAGCACGTATCACTCACAAGGTCTTATGTGGACAGACCTCTGAGCTAAGGCTCAAACCTAACAGTCAGTCTGCAGGCGACACGTGCAAAAACCAACATTGGTGCTTGGCCCGAAACTGCATTCCCAGGCACCACATAATGCTGCAGTGCTCGAGCTATTGKGGAAAGAGAAAGGAAGAGCTTAAAACGCGATAAGACTTGAGGACAGCTCAGGAAGGGTGTGGGCACTGCAAGAATGTCAGAAACCAAGAGTAAAATCTTGCATTGAAGAGGAGATCTTCAAATAGATATAACCTCGTCAAATACTACAGCATTTCAKCTGGGATGCAATTTTGGACATAATATAATTTTTGCAAGTAACAAGTTGCATTAAACTATTCAGAATGAAAATGCCATTTCTGGTTTAGCATTTGCTTATACTGACTGATACCACAAAATATGATTAAGTAGAAAATCAAAATTATTCTTACACGTTCTCCAAGAGACATAATGAATATTCTAAAGCACTACTTCCATTTAAGAAAAACCTTTTACTGTCTGAATATAGAGGCTTAGAGAAGAAAGGAAGGGTAGGTAATATGGGAAGGCTGTTTCCTTACAATTACACATGAATGGTTTGTGGCAGTTTTTCAGGATGCTGAGGGTCCTGCACATGTATTTTCCTTTCTCTAAGAATATTATTACAAGCTGGGAGAGCATACAAAGGCTCTAAATTTTCAAACATTTAACATTTTTGAGCCATTCTGAGTGAAGAAAAAGATGCTTAGAAAACCACAGCCCTAGCTCTCACCAAGTATTTTAGAAAGATWGATTTGCATCTGCAGGAGACAGGAGATGTTTAAGCTGAATGGAAGGAAGTGTGACCTGAGCCCCCCAAAGTTTTGTGCTTGCAGCAAATTAGAAAATAAAAACTAAAAGACACAAAAAAAGTCATTCTGAAAAATGGTGTGAATTCATCAACAAGTATCCATTCATGTTCTTCACTTCACATCTAACATCTACTAGAACATTTTTCTTCATAAAGTATCATTTATTGCTCTCCTTCTTTAATTCCACCTAAGGCAGTATTACCAAAGTACTTGCCATGTGCCACTGTTCCTAACTCCACCAGGACGTGGAACCAAAGGCAGCAGTGGTTGAATAAACTGTTCCTAAGCTTCATAATTATTTCTAAATATTATGCAGTAGGAATGTTTTGGTATTACAATTTGATAACATAATCCTAATTTTTCAAATATAATATTAAATTTTCCAAAAGACTCATGAAACTCTCTCACTAAAAAGRGGAAGAAGAAACAAGAAATAACAAAGAACATTTTGCTCATCATTAAAGGAGTTAGGAAAAACAAATCTACCCCTTTTAAGATGATGCATGTCAATATCCTTTGCAATATACTCCCTACTTCTCATATCGGGACTTTTTTCTTAAGTATACGCTGGGAAAAAAAATGAAGTCCTTTCCTACACATTAGATCATTTTGTCCCCTTTTGTCCTTCAGTGTATTGGACTTCCCCTCCCGCTTAATATTCCCTGGTATCTATGATCCATTAGCTGTAGATGTAAGATGTATTCACTGAAAAAGGTTATGGCAACGGGGAAATCTTTGCTGCCTTTGCCATATCAGGAGTCCCAGAATACAGACAACTAAATGTTAAGAATAAGTTTTGGATTTGGATCAGCTGAAATAGGGGACCATATTAAAAACTAAAAACAAAAAAAAAAATCATAACTTTAAAATTCATGCTATTTGCAYACATTTTCATCACTTCTTAAGTCCCATAAATACACTAATTTTAACTGTAATAGTATATATGTAGTAAATTTATTATAATAAATATATGCATAGTAAACTCCATGGTTGGAAGCTCTTCTGTGTCGTAACTGACTTTTTGCCTGAAATTTTCACTAGGGAAAAAGCATAAATTATCTCTGCATTCCTCTGAATAAGAAATTATGAAGAACTAAATCAAACCTGTCCTTTCCAAAGAATCATGAAGATGTCTTGGAACTTTTTAAAATTTGTGTAACATTAAAATATTAAATATAACTCTCCTTCTAGGATTATATTGATACACAATTCAGATGGCTTTTTAAGATGTAAATTCAAATAAAATAAACTGGTTCTTGCTAAAAAACAGTTACAACGTGCCATTTCTAATTTATACTTCCCCCCAAAAAAATACAAACAGTTGATAAACAACATTTTGAATCAGAAGTCTCACTGGAAATCTATGTAAACTATGCAAAGTTTCTTTTCTTACAGGAAGGACCACAGAAACAACCAATATTCCCATTTACTTAGACACCCACATGAAAACAAACCTGGAAAACTCACTTTTTAGCAGTGAAGTGTACTTTTGTTTAAGAATTTGATGCTTCTTCTATATTTACATACATCAATTCCAGCTTTAAAAATAATATAAGAATAACTTCCTGGACACATATAGTCTAAGAACTAAATCAGTTACTTACTTGTCCTTAGCAAACATTCAAGTACAACTTATTTTTCAGAGGCCCCTCAGAATCAGAAGTCATTTTAAGTCA